CAGAGCTGTCTGGGAGCCGAGTGTCGCGGCAGGAATGAAGCTCTCCGTATAAAGAAGAAGATGGAGGGAGACCTGAACGAGATGGAGATCCAGCTCAGCCAGGCCAACAGGCAGGCAGCTGAGGCCCAGAAACAGCTCAAATCTCTTCACGCACATATGAAGGTTTGAATGAACATCATTTAATGCATCTTTGATAGTAAAAAAAAAAAACACGACTCTTTCAGCCTGGTACATTTTCACTTTAAAGGACACTCAGCTGCAGCTGGACGACTCTCTCCGAGCCAATGATGACATGAAAGAAAACATTGCCATTGTTGAGAGACGCAACACTCTGCTTCAGGCTGAACTGGAAGAACTGAGAGCTGCTTTGGAGCAAACTGAGAGAAGTCGCAAACTTGCTGAGCAAGAGCTGATGGATGTTAGTGAGAGGGTGCAGCTACTGCACTCACAGGTGAGACCAGGACAACAGCTTCAAAATAGTTCAGTTTCTTCTACCTGACATTAAAAAAAAAATCCATTAATTTTATTTGTCTACAAACATTTGCAGAACACCGGCCTGATAAACCAGAAGAAGAAGCTGGAGGCTGATACTTCCCAGCTTCAGACAGAAGTAGAAGATGCTGTGCAGGAGTGTAGAAATGCTGAGGAGAAGCCAAAGAAGCCCATTACTGACCCTGCCATGATGGCAGAGGAGCTGAAGAAAGAGCAGGACACCAGTGCTCACCTGGAGCGTATGAAGAAGAACATGGAGCAGACCATCAAAGACCTGCAGCATCGTCTGGATGAAGCCGAACAGATCGCCTTAAAGGGAGGCAAGAAGCAGCTGCAGAAGCTTGAAGCCAGGGTGAGTAAAGGTTTTGTAATAAACAGATTTTACATATCAGTATAATCAACCAGAACGGGTCTTAAACAACGCAGGATGTGCTGACATTTCTTTTCACAAACTCCAATTATAACAGGTCAAAGAACTTGAAAATGAAGTGGAAAGTGAACAGAAAAAAGCCAGTGATGCTATAAAGGGAGTAAGAAAGTATGAGAGACGTATAAAGGAACTAACCTATCAGGTATGTCATGTCATGTTTGGCTTGTAACAGTGTGAAATTGATCAACGCAGAAGTACAGAATGGCATTGTTCTTATGTTATTTTATGTTATGTCATTAGACCGAGGAAGATCGTAAGAATCTCATGCGACTTCAGGACCTGGTAGACAAGTTGCAGCTGAAGGTCAAGTCCTACAAGAAAGCTGCAGAGGAGTCTGTAAGTGTTAGTTATTTTGCATGCCAGCGTACGTAAAGGAATACCTGATGAACAATTTTATTTTGTCCTTCCAAGGAGGAACAAGCCAATAATAACCTCGCTAAGTTCCGCAAGCTCCAACATGAGCTGGATGAAGCTGAAGAGAGGGCTGACATTGCAGAATCCCAGGTCAACAAGCTACGTGCTAAGAGCCGGGATGTGAGCTCGAAGGTGGGCACACACCTTTTTACACTTTTCAGTAAAATGTCAGCGTACATTCGAGAAGCAGCGAAAAACCCACATTTGCTATCCATCAGAATAAATCACACTTGACATCCTAACAACAACATGGGTCTAGTTGGATGACAATACATCACATGTAAAACTTGAGTTTTTTCCTTTGTTTCAGAAGGGACTTGATGAAGAGTGAGACATCTTCAACAACAACTGTTCCTCATAAGAGATCGTCTCTCGGTGTTTGTTTCGTTGTTTTCTAGTGTTCGTAGTTTTCTTGACTGCAGTGATTCACGACTCAAGTCGTGGTCTTTTACCCACATAAAAAGAATGAAGTAATAAAGGACCTGCAACATGACCATGTGTTCCATTCTCCTTTTACAAACTCTTCTCCTCTGTGTGTGTTAACTGTGCGTGTAGGTCACATTTTCAACAACGATCATGATTTTGAGGATTCTCAGATCTTGTGGAGAAGGTTCTAAGCACTGGACTTGGGTTAGGGTTAGGATTAGGGTCAGATTTGAGTTCATATAAGGTTTAAGAGTAGACATACATTTGTAAAAATCCAGGTAGGGTAATGGGTTAATGAATGCATTATGTTTATGTAAAGTGTGCAAAGAGAAACAGAAGGATTTCTTTTTCCTTATGGTGATATTTGCAAAGCGATCACAATTCAGTTCCTCATTTTAATACATGGTCCTCACCTGACAGACACTCATCCTGCTTCAGTCATCTTTTCATCACACCACACTACACTCATAAACAAGAGGTGAAACTACTTTCCCTCCAACTCAACACCAAATGTAAACTCAACACACTTTAATAACTTATATCAAATGTCTCACATGACCGATTTGTTTACTGCATATCATTTTTGTCATTTTTCTACTGAAAAGCAAAGGTAGGTAGAGAATTATTTTGTTTTAGATGAAAAAAGTGTTGAGGCAACCATTTTTAAAGAAACCTTGAAGTTGTCAATATCAAAACTGTGATTCCTGTAACACGTTTGATGTAATCTGATTCTTTGGATTATAGATATAGTAAATCCATTTATTGATCCCCAAAATGGGAATCTGATTATGTCAGTGTTAGTTAAATGTACCTTTTCCTGTTATTCTTCTTAACATAAATTTTCAATTGAATTGTGAATAGAAGTTGACACAAGTGCTGATGTTATTTCCAATATATAAATGTAACATTATGTAATGTGTTCAAACCACTAACCTCTTTATCTGTATTTCATCCAATCTTTTCACAGTCTTAAGTTTTCTCTTCAGAGCCGAAGAAGAGGAGACAGCGTTTGCTCCCAAATCTGGGATAGATGTCTGACAGCATCTTGGAATCTCCCGGTCCGTTCAAGGTTCAACATCCAAAGGTGACCTACAGTTTCAAGAGACGTGAGTTCAACGATTAAAATCATTATTATGACAATGATGATAAATGTTTTGCCCAAAGAGCAGATAAAAGCTGTACATTACCTTTCTAATCCTTGGTTCTATCCTGGTCAGGGCCTGGCAGGAAGGAAGACAAGCAACATGAGTTCTCACGGAGGACCGTGGTCTGAATGAATGGAAAGAAGATGAGGCGACTTTACAACTGTACGCCTCAAAGGGAGCTCACCACCCTCTTGGAATTGACCTTAGACAACTACAGAGGGCAAATGCTAACAATAGCGTTGTCGGCTCCAGTTTCAAACTTGAGTAGGGTAAGGTACCTCACACTTTCCCTTGTGCATTCACGTGATAATAAAAGTCAAAGACACAAGGACTGTAAACAGCTGGGAATGAGACCTTTAACAGGCAAGTGTTTGGCCTGGAATAGATGGCGGGAAAAGTAAGGATGAGTGCGATAGTATGGAGGCGATCAGGGTGTGAAGACAATGTTCCAAGCAGAATGTCCAACTCTTAACATCTTACCATCAACACATCATAATTACATTCCCATCCACCATACGCTACAGAACCTGTTTGCTCTACGTCAATCATCTGTTGCTGGCAAAAAAAGAAAAAGAAAAAAACCGGTAGCCCAGTAGCCGCAGGCTGTCCTTCGACCATAAAGCCTCAAAAGCCCTCAACAGGAATTTCACAAGTTATCTTTGTCCTCAAGGATACAGAGAAGAAACAATGCCATGTCAACAGGATCAGTCTGAGGGCACTTGGTTGGCATCTTCATCTCATGACCATGTTTGGAGGGATGGTTAGATTATAGTTCACGACACACTTCGGTAACACCAAGGCAAGTTTAACATGGGGTCACATCCCTTTATCTTCAGATACTATTTTTTTCTCTTTATAACTGTCTTGAAGTGTTTTGTTTGTTTATCAAATATCAAGTATCCTAACTTATTGGCGTCATCGAACTCTATACCTAACGATTGCTCATGTGACACGAACATTACTGACACTTCTATTATTAATGAAGGACGGGAAACTGTGACACGTGTCCAGAGTTAGACTGAGAGTACAGACGTACGTACGTACTCACTCACTCTTACCAACGGTGATAATGAAAGATGTCACAGCTGTGACCTTGGCCCTGTCTTGTCTTGCTGTAGACAACAGCTGAAGCTCTTTATTCTCCCTCTTGAAATGTATTTCACACCATATCAATTGTCATATAACGTTCAAGAATACGGCCAGTAGGTCTGGTCCATCAATCTTTTTTGTCTGCCTTCTTGCCTTATTTAGAAACTTAAAAAGAACAATGGGTTCATCAGGGGATATTTAATAACTCATTTTCAAAGACACAAAATTCATTGCTAATATAATGCAGAAAAAAATCTATTAAAATTGATATATAACACTACATGTGTTCTACATATGGACAGAGGAGATGTACTAGATGCACAATAGCCTGTCCTCACTTTCCTCCTCCTACTATTTTTTTTTTCTTTTGTCGTGGGCCAGAAGAGCTTTGTTCACAAGGTGAAAGCAACAAATAGCAGCACTGGGCTACGGCCAATTTGGAGAATGCTTTTGTGACAGACATCCTACATGCCATTTCTCTGAAATTCAAATCCATATTTGGTGTAGTAACAACCTTTATTAACCAAGAGGCAGCCCATTGTCAGCCACTGGTTCCATCTTTTCACAGCCTGACAGTCAACAGAGACCAGTTGCATTTTCAGGTGAACACTTGCATCATATGTAAGTGACTTTATTTGTATATAAGATGCTTAGGATATAAAATTTACTATTAATATTTAATTTTTGCTCTGCCTAAAATCTTTGAATAACTAAATAATAAAAAAAGTTACATATTTTAATGCTGTTTATTCTGTTGAATTTTAAAAATGTTTTAATAACATTTCCTGTCTTATTTATGATATTGCAGAAATCCCAAGTTCCCAAGAAGCTTCAGGTAACAAAGAATGACAAAGAGTTTGTACAAGGTTTTAACCTGTCCACAAAAACTAAGTCATTATTTAATTTTCTAAATTTTCTGATTTTTTTTTTAAGGTGGCAAAATGGGTGATGCAGTCATGGCAGAGTTTGGACCTGCGGCTTCTTATCTTAGAAAGTCTGATAAGGAGCGACTGGAAGCGCAGACTCGTACATTTGACATGAAGAAGGAATGTTTTGTTCCTGATCCGGAGGTGGAGTACGTCAAGGCTTCAGTCACGACTCGAGATGGTGATAAAGTCACCGTTCATACTGAGTTTGGAAAGGTGTGGACAGAAGTTCATCTGATCACTAAAACAAGGTCTGTACCCTGGCATTAATGTTTGATTTAAATTATTTTTCAGACTGTCACAGTCAAGGATTGCGACGTACATCCTCAAAATCCACCAAAGTTTGATAAAATTGAAGACATGGCGATGTTCACCTTCCTCCATGAGCCAGCTGTGCTGTTCAACCTCAAAGAGCGTTACGCAGCTTGGATGATTTATGTAAGACCCCCTTAGATATCTATGATGCCTCTAAAGCATTTAAAGAAAATCATATTTCTGTATGTTATAATTTACATCTAGTCATCTTCTGCCTCTTTTCTCATTTAGACCTACTCTGGACTGTTCTGTGTGACTGTCAACCCCTACAAGTGGCTGCCAGTCTACAACCAGGAGGTGGTTGTTGCCTACAGAGGAAAGAAGAGGAGTGAAGCTCCTCCTCACATCTTCTCCATCTCTGACAATGCCTACCAGTACATGCTGTCAGGTACACCATCTGTTTTATCCTGTCTGCGTTCCTTCAACTTCCTGCTGGTGCATTACAATAGATTCAAGTGACCATTTTTTTAAATTCTTTCTTACAGACAGAGAAAATCAGTCTATCCTTATCACGTAAGTCACACTTCAACAAACATGTTCTTCTTTTATAAAGTTAATCTGGTTTAACTTTTAACTGTCTTTCTTCTGTCTAGTGGAGAATCTGGTGCTGGAAAGACTGTGAACACCAAACGTGTCATTCAGTACTTTGCCAGCATCGCAGCTGTCCCCAGTGGAGGAAAGAAAGACGCAGCTTCTGAAAAAAAGGTTCATTTCACAATTACGTTACATGTACAATTGTTAATGTATTAACAAATATATATATATATTTAAGCTTTTTTTCTCAAATTAACCAAACCAGGGAACCTTGGAGGATCAAATCATCCAGGCTAATCCCGCTCTGGAAGCCTTTGGAAATGCCAAGACCATCAGAAATGACAACTCCTCTAGATTTGTGAGTATTTCTAAGACAACTTTCACAGTAGAGATTTATTTTAAAATTTGCAATAACAATGTAAATAATATGAACATGTCTTTTCTACCCAGGGCAAATTCATCAGAATTCACTTTGACAACAGAGGAAAGCTCGCCTCTGCAGATATTGAGACTTGTAAGTTCAAATTTCATTCTAATTTCTTGTTCCTGTTTATTAGCCGTATTGTATTCGTTTATTTATTATTGTTGGACGTAATATTATTATATCTTAAAATGCATTTTTATTTTAACAGACCTTCTGGAGAAATCACGTGTGACCTACCAGCTCAAAGCTGAGAGAGACTACCACATCTTCTACCAGATCCTGTCTCAGGTCAAGCCTGAACTTCTGGGTACGGTGGCACATACATAACTGTAGCAGTGCTAATACATCTGACTAATATATACGTACTGTTACCAACAAATATAATCACTCACTTGCAGACATGTTGCTGATCACCAACAACCCCTACGACTATTCCTTCATCTCCCAAGGAGAGACAACTGTGGCTTCCATCAATGACTCAGACGAGCTGATGGCCACTGATGTGAGCTCAGTCTGGACATAGAACTACCAAACGTGCATTTCTTCAAACACACAGATATACATTTTTATTTTCTTTTTTCTCAGGATGCCTTTGATGTCCTGGGCTTCACTCAAGAAGAGAAGAACAGCATCTACAAACTGACTGGAGCCATCATGCACTATGGGAACATGAGGTTTAAGCAGAAACAGCGAGAGGAGCAGGCTGAGGCAGACGGCACTGAGGGTCAGAGACCAGCTGTGGTTATGATGACTAATAATTTTATAGTGTGGTTTTGAATAAAAGTGATCTGTTCGCTTCCTTAGATGCTGACAAAGTCGCTTATCTGATGGGCCTGAACTCTGCCGACCTCATTAAAGGTCTCTGTCACCCAAGAGTCAAAGTAGGAAATGAGTGGGTCACCAAAGGTCAAAGTGTGGCCCAGGTAATCAATAAGTAAAGTTTAATCAGTATGTATCTGGTTTCAAAAATGTATTAAAGCACAGTTTTAAAGACTGTACTCTCCCCTGTTCCCACCCCAAGGTGAACTATGCTATTGGTGCACTGGCTAAGTCAGTGTACGAGAGGATGTTCTTGTGGATGGTGGTCAGGATCAACCAGTCTCTAGAAACTAAACAACCTCGTCAGTACTTCATCGGTGTACTGGACATTGCTGGATTTGAGATCTTTGATGTGAGTGAAATTGAAAGTAATGCATTTTCCTCATTTTCCCTTTTTTTTGTACTTATTATATTCATTTCTCTGTTACAGTTCAACACCTTTGAGCAGATGTGCATCAACTTCACCAACGAGAAACTGCAACAGTTTTTCAACCACCACATGTTTGTGCTGGAGCAGGAAGAGTACAAGAAAGAGGGCATTGAATGGGTTTTCATTGACTTTGGTATGGACCTGCAGGCCTGTATTGACCTCATTGAAAAGCCCATGGGTATCATGTCCATCCTTGAAGAGGAGTGCATGTTCCCCAAAGCCAGTGACACCACCTTTAAAGCTAAGCTCTATGACAACCACCTGGGAAAATCTGCAAACTTCCAGAAACCCAGAATTGTCAAGGGGAAACCAGAGGCTCATTTCTCTCTTGTTCACTACGCTGGAACTGTTGATTATAATATCAACAACTGGCTGGTGAAAAACAAAGACCCTCTGAATGAGACGGTTGTTGTACTCTTCCAGAAGTCTACGCTAAAACTTCTGGGATTGCTTTTTGCCAACTATGCTGGATCCGATTCTGGTGAGTGAACGTTAAAGGAAAATAAATCTCATGACTATTACTGACTTCTTATAAATATTACAGTACAGATACAATCATTAACTGCTTTTTGATAACTACATTTTGACAGTAACTTTGTTTTTTTTATGTAGCCCCAGAAGGCGGAAAGGGCAAGGGTAGCAAGAAGAAAGGTTCATCTTTCCAGACTGTTTCAGCTTTGCACAGGGTAACAAGTTTCATTGTAACTTTGCCACATGACTTTTTTTGTGACAAATTAAACCAAATCCTATAGTGGTGGGGGGCAGTGGTGGCTTGGTGGTGGCTTCGAGTCCACCAGCTGCCAAGTTACCACTCACAATGTCACAATGACAAATAATTCACATTACCTGACATAAAACTTGCAGGAGAATCTCAACAAGCTGATGACCAACCTGAGGTCCACACACCCTCACTTTGTGCGCTGCCTCATCCCCAATGAGACCAAGACTCCTGGGGCCATGGAGAATCCTCTGGTGATGCACCAGCTGCGCTGTAACGGTGTGCTGGAAGGAATCAGGATCTGCAGAAAAGGTTTCCCCAACAGGATCCTCTACGGAGACTTCAAACAGAGGTGTCTGTGTGACAAACAAATACTTTTTATTAAACCCAATTAAATTCTTTTGTTTATTTTATTTTAACCTGGCAATTTGTCCAATATGTGCAATAATGCACTCAAACTGATCCTGTCAAACCGTAGGTACCGTATTTTGAATCCAAATGCCATTCCTGAGGGACAGTTCATTGACAACAAGAAAGCTTCAGAGAAACTCCTGGGCTCTCTGGACATTGACCACACCCAGTACAAACTGGGTCACACCAAGGTTTGTATATTCACTCAGTTACTGACTAAGATGAAATTAATTCTGTGTATGAGATATACAGTATTCTTCCAACTGTGTTCTTAAAGTGTTATGTCAAAACTGAGACATATCCATGCCATGTCAAGTCCATCCAACAGACTATTGTCCAAATTTCAAAGGTGTTCTTCAAAGCTGGACTGTTAGGTCAGCTGGAGGAGATGCGTGATGTCAGGTTGGCCCTCATTATCACTGGTATTCAAGCCAGGTCAAGAGGACTTCTTGCAAGAATTGAATTTCAGAAGATTGTTGAACGCAGGTACATGGATGTTGTCAATTATGATCTTTGTCAATCAATATTATCATGTGAATGAGTAAAACTACATTTAAAATTTTCCACACCAATGATAACATTTAAATTGACTCAATAACAATGTTTTCCTCAGGGATGCACTGCTGGTGATCCAGTGGAACATCCGTGCCTTCATGGGGGTCAAGAATTGGCCTTGGATGAAGATGTACTTCAAGATCAAGCCTCTGTTGAAGTCAGCAGAGAGTGAGAAGGAGATGGCCAACATGAAGGAAGAGTTCACCAAACTGAAAGAGGCTTACGCTAAATCAGAAGCCCGTCGAAAGGAATTGGAAGAAAAGATGGTCTCTCTCCTCCAAGAGAAGAACGACCTGCAGCTCCAAGTTCAGGCTGTAGGTTAAATATCAGTTACTTCTAATAAGAAAAATTATAATCTGAATGAACAAAGACTGAAGTGAAAATTAAGAGTCTGTCTTTTTTAACAACAGGAACAAGACAATCTTTGTGATGCCGAAGAAAGATGTGAGGGTCTGATCAAAAACAAAATTCAGATGGAGGCAAAAGCCAAAGAGCTGTCAGAGAGGTTGGAAGATGAGGAGGAGATGAACGCTGAACTGACTGCTAAGAAGAGGAAGCTGGAGGATGAGTGCTCTGAGTTAAAGAAAGACATTGATGACTTAGAGCTAACTCTGGCCAAAGTGGAAAAGGAGAAGCACGCTACAGAGAACAAGGTACCGATAAAATGAATTAAAACACTCAGTATAAAAGACCAAATGACAGTTTGGTGTTCACTTATTTATTTTAATGTTTGCAAAAATGTGCACTTGCCCCTAGGTGAAAAATATGACTGAGGAGATGGCAGCTCTGGATGAAATTATCGCCAAGTTGACCAAGGAAAAGAAAGCCTTACAGGAGGCTCATCAACAAACACTGGACGACCTGCAGAGTGAGGAAGACAAAGTCAACACTCTGACCAAGGCTAAGGTCAAGCTGGAGCAGCAAGTGGACGATGTATGTATTAAAATGCATGCATATAACTTTTTCTGTCCAACACAAGTTCAGACAAAATATTTTTTTTTCCACTGTGACTATCTAGCTTGAGGGTTCTCTGGAGCAAGAGAAGAAGATTCGAATGGATCTAGAGAGAGCCAAGAGAAAGCTGGAGGGAGATCTGAAATTGACCCAGGAGAGTCTAATGGACCTGGAGAATGACAAGCAACAACTTGAGGAACATATGAAAAAGTACCTTTTTGTATTTGTTGAAAATCATTGTATTATATTAACACTAGTGAACATTTTAATCTGACTCTTTATTCTGCCACTTCAAAACAGGAAAGACTTTGAACTCAGTCAGCTAAATAATAAAATAGAGGACGAGCAGGCCATTGCTATTCAGCTTCAAAAGAAACTAAAAGAACTTCAGGTAATGATTGACATACCTGTGTTGGTGATTTGTAGAAGCTCAGTTTGCTAAAAAGATTTCTCACATTTTGCCCTCTTAGGCTCGCATTGAAGAGCTGGAGGAGGAACTCGAGGCAGAACGAGCTGCCAGGGCAAAGGTGGAGAAGCAGAGAGCAGATCTGGCCAGAGAGCTGGAGGAGATCAGTGAGAGGCTGGAGGAAGCTGGTGGGGCAACATCTGCCCAGATTGAGATGAACAAGAAGAGGGAGGCTGAATTCCAGAAACTGCGCAGAGACCTTGAAGAGGCCACACTGCTGCATGAATCTACTGCTGCATCACTGAGGAAAAAACAGGCTGACAGTGTTGCTGACCTGGGAGAGCAGATAGACAACCTGCAGAGAGTCAAGCAGAAACTGGAGAAAGAGAAGAGTGAGCTCAGACTGGAGCTGGACGATGTGGTCTCCAGTATGGAACACGTTGTGAAGACTAAAGTGAGATAAAGGGACAAATCATTCTGTGTAAACACTGACATCGCGTTCAGTGTATTTAACTTTTACATGTTGCGTTTGCAAACATTCTGGAGCCTCAGTTTTATAGTGCTTGATCCATCTGTAATGTTGTCATTTCAGAACAATTTGGAGAAAATGTGCAGGTCTTTGGAAGACCAGATGAATGAATACAAGACAAAGTCAGAAGAAGGTCAACGTACCATCAATGACTTCACCATGCACAAGGCCAAGCTTCAAACTGAAAATGGTACCACTGGGCATTTTATTAATTTTGAAATGCAAAACAGTCATGTATTAGTTTGTTTTCTAAAGTATTTCCTTCAAATTTAGGTGAACTCACAAGACAACTTGAGGAAAAAGATTCCCTTGTGTCTCAGCTCACCAGAGGAAAACAGTCCTACACTCAACAGATTGAGGACCTGAAAAGACAGTTGGAGGAAGAAGTCAAGGTACTAATACAATTATTGCATTCATACTGTACACAGTAGATGTACAGTACATTTCTTAAATTCTTAAAATTAATTATTACTCTATCACAGGCCAAGAATGCTCTGGCCCACGCAGTGCAGTCTTCTCGCCATGACTGTGACCTGCTCAGGGAGCAGTATGAGGAGGAGCAGGAGGCCAAGGGTGAACTCCAGCGCGGCATGTCCAAGGCCAACTCTGAGGTGGCTCAGTGGAGAACTAAGTACGAAACTGATGCCATCCAGAGAACTGAGGAGCTGGAGGAGGCCAAGTGAGTAAAACATGACATCTTACTGTAATGTCCTGATTGCATTCAATAGGTTAAAAAACCTGAACAAATTTCATATTTATTCCAGGAAGAAGCTGGCTCAGCGTCTGCAGGAGGCTGAGGAAGCTGTGGAAGCAGTGAATGCTAAATGTTCCTCTCTGGAGAAGACTAAACACAGACTTCAGAATGAGATTGAAGATCTGATGGTGGACGTGGAGAGGTCTAATGCTGCAGCCGCTGCTCTGGACAAGAAGCAAAGAAACTTTGACAAGGTGACAAAGCATCCTCAACAAAAACAACTTCAGTTGTTGTCCTTGCTGGAGGGTTCTCAGAAAGATGCCCGGTCTCTGAGCACTGAACTCTTCAAACTGAAGAACTCCTATGAAGAATCTCTAGAACATCTGGAGACCATGAAGAGAGAAAATAAGAATCTTCAGGGTAAGAACCAGCATCAGATTACTGCGTTGCTGAAACAGAATTTTGAATTGCCAAAAAACATCGTTTGATTTTGTACCTCAGAGGAAATAGCTGATCTCACTGAACAAATCGGTGAGGGAGGAAAGAGTATTCATGAACTTGAAAAGATTCGGAAGCAGTTGGAGCAAGAGAAGTCAGAGATACAAACAGCTCTGGAGGAAGCAGAGGTATTTAAAACATCCACATGACTGACCATAACAACAAACAACTGGAATAATATTTGAACCGAATGTTGTCGTTCTGTGTCAGGCCTCACTGGAGCATGAGGAGGGCAAGATTCTCAGAGCCCAACTAGAGTTCAATCAGGTCAAAGCTGAGATTGAGCGAAAGCTGTCTGAGAAAGATGAAGAGATGGAACAAGCCAAGAGAAACCACCAAAGAACTGTGGACACCCTGCAGAGCTCTCTGGAGGCCGAGTGTCGCAGCAGGAAGGAAGCTCTCCGTATAAAGAAGAAGATGGAGGGAGACCTGAACGAGATGGAGATCCAGCTCAGCCAGGCCAACAGGCAGGCAGCTGAGGCCCAGAAACAGCTCAAATCTCTTCATGCACATATGAAGGTACACATTTCCTTTGGAGAAACATAAAGACAACACTTGATTCGTGTTATTTTTATATAGTTTACTTGACACTTTATGTCCCAACTATCAGGACACTCAGCTGCAGCTGGACGACTGTCTCCGAGCCAATGATGACATGAAGGAAAATGTTACCATTGTTGAGAGACGCAACACTCTGCTTCAGGCTGAACTGGAAGAACTGAGAGCTGCTTTGGAGCAAACTGAGAGAAGTCGCAAACTTGCTGAGCAAGAGCTGATGGATGTTAGTGAGAGGGTGCAGCTACTGCACTCACAGGTGAGACCAGGACAACAGCTTCAAAATAGTTCAGTTTCTTCTACCTGACATTAAAAAAAAAATCCATTAATTTTATTTGTCTACAAACATTTGCAGAACACCGGCCTGATAAACCAGAAGAAGAAGCTGGAGGCTGATACTTCCCAGCTTCAGACAGAAGTAGAAGATGCTGTGCAGGAGTGTAGAAATGCTGAGGAGAAGCCAAAGAAGCCCATTACTGACCCTGCCATGATGGCAGAGGAGCTGAAGAAAGAGCAGGACACCAGTGCTCACCTGGAGCGTATGAAGAAGAACATGGAGCAGACCATCAAAGACCTGCAGCATCGTCTGGATGAAGCCGAACAGATCGCCTTAAAGGGAGGCAAGAAGCAGGTGCAGAAGCTCGAGACCAGGGTGAGTAATATTTAGTACAAAGAAAGACAGAAAAGGGTATAAAAGGGTCTACATTGAAATTACACTAACAAAGAATTCAAAATTATAAAATGTGTTTCAATGTGACACAAATGTAGTAAATTCATTCATGATATATCTGACAAAAAAACATCTTTTCACAGATCAAAGAGCTGGAAAATGAACTTGAGGCTGAACAAAGAAAGTCCAGCGATTCCATCAAGGGAATACGTAAATATGAGCGGAGAATTAAGGAGCTGACCTATCAGGTATTGTCCAGTGCATGACCACAATGCAACATATTGGTAAGTCATTGCTATTTTCCATTGGTCAATTTCTTTGGTTATTTTGATCTTTAGACGGAGGAGGACAAAAAGAACCTCGCCCGTCTGCAGGATTTAGTGGACAAGCTTCAGCTGAAGGTCAAATCCTATAAGAGAGCTGCAGAGGAGGCTGTAAGTACTTCTGACCAAACTGAAAATATTATTGAATGTAGTAAAGTTCATCTCGATTTAACGGGACATACAAATACTGTTGCATTTCCAAGGGTAGTTTCTGTCCGGTATCTGTGACCAGGGCTATTGTCGCTCTGTTTTAATAGGAAGAACAAGCCAACAGCAACCTCACCAAGTTCCGTAAGATTCAGCATGAGCTTGACGAAGCTGAGGAGAGAGCTGACATCGCTGAATGTCAGGTCAACAAGCTGCGCGCCAAGACCCGTGATGTGGGTTCAAAGGTCAGTAATTGATTTACCATTCTGTTTATGTGACATCATACATCACATAAACAGAATAGTAAACTAGTGAATAGTATCACTAGAACTGTATATATGATTATTTTTACCTAAATGAAGGGTTCTAAATCTGCACCATTCTTTATTTTGCCTCTTAAATATCTTCTTTTTGTCTTGCTCTGATTTTAGAAAAGTGAAGAGTAAAGCTTTTGCAACAGGTCCCCGCTTCCGAGACATGTCACGTCTCCTTATCCATGTGTGCTGTTGAGTAGAATAAAATGTCTCTGCATCTCAATTCATCTCATGTCCTCATTCTCGTGTGGTTTATTTAAAAAAATAAATAAAAATGGATATAATTCATACCAAATCAAAAAGCCAAAGTAATTTCATGGTGTCATTTTTTAAAAACTACTGGCTTAACCCTAACCCTAACCCTAACCCTAACCTTTTACCATCCAGATACTGAATAATAATATTACATAAAATGTGGTTTGTATTTTACATTTCTAAAAATTTTAATATTATTAGGAAAGCATATATTATGCAAATAAATAAATAAAGCAACTCTTTGAAACTAAAAGAGGTGCTTCATTTTTTATAATCCTATTTTTGGAACCCATCCATATATATATATATATATATATATATATATATATATATATATATGTATCTATATACTAGAAAATAGCCACCACAGGGATGGAGCTGGGACAGAGGACAGAGACATTTAAAACAAAACACAGAGGATTATTTTTCATAAGATATGATACGCAGTAGTTTGCTATATATACTTTTTATGTATGTTGGTTGTTAGTTGTGATTAAGTCTAGTACGTAGTGCTGTACTTGTAACAGTCTCAGTGTACAGTAGAGGCATAGCCCTGCCAGTTAACTTAAAGTGAATCAAGTTAAAACACTAGAGGTCAGCAAAGTGTTAGAGCAAGTAAATCTAAAAGCTCACATGTCTAAAGCTCACACTGACGTATGTTTTTGATTCATTTTCCTCAATATATATATCATTTTACTGACAGCATTGTGTTTTTGTTTAATCTATAATTTTTCAGCAGCTCCATATATTTTATTGGATTTGACTCTGGATCACGTTCAGTCCAGTTGCTTCTGACTCACACATCTTGGACTCCCAGTAATCCCACTGTGCTCTCATCTGCATTTACTTCAACCTATTATAAGGCAAACGTTACTTTTGGCTCACCTTAAGTGACAAAGCTTTTCTTGGGCTAACGGGAATCTGAGGTTGTTCCACAATGTGACCCTGCAATTAAAAATATATATAATTAGTTTCTTGGCAAATCAAGACTAACAAAACACATCAGGACATATTTTCAAATATTCTTGATGAACATGCAGAACATACAGAATTACAGGTGTTCAGTTCACACTCAACTTTTCTTTGACAAATGCACAAAGATCATGTTCTGTCGTTAATACAGTACGTATTAAGTAAGGACACCTGAATTTAACTAAAATACTGTACATCATACGTTGTGTGCTAAAAACACACATATAAAACTTTATATAAGAAAATTAAACATTCATTATCTTTGTATTTTAAAAACGTCTCCTACCTTGACTTGTTGTTTCTCTTCATCGACAGAAAAACTCAAATGTAACAGCGTTTCCTTATGCTGATTGTAAATGAACCTACAGCAACTTATCCGTTGTCTGAATGAACCCCAGGAGAAATTGCAAGACAAGAAAGCACATGGGGGCTGGGTCTGACACTTAGCACCTCCTCAAGTAACCTTCAGTTAACATCAAGTATTCTAACAATAGCGTTCTGAAGGTTTCAGTTGGTTCAGATTTCTGACTTGAGAGGGTCAAGGTGCTTCACACCTTCCCTTGTGTGTCCATGTGATCGCAGAAGTCAGAGGTCCAAGGACTGACAACAGCTGGGAATGGAGCCTCAGTTGCTCTGCTAATGCCCATGTCTTGGTATGATGGTACAGCTCTATAAAGTAAAACAACAATTTTCCTCAGTGTCTTCTTGTTTCTCAGACCATACCACGTTGATAGACACACTGTCAAGTCAAGGACTTCCTGGTTTCTCTGTATACTACTAGGTAGGAAGCCCAAAAGGCCTGAGTTACAAACGTCATCGTTTTTAAGTGTTCCAACTAAATGTATTACACACAAAAAACAAGAATATGTCATCTTCATATAATGACATGTTTATTCATAAGCTCTTAGTCCTTTTAGTTTTCTTCATTTTATTCAAAGTACACATTATAAATACATGGTACCCTTCAGATGCCTCTGTCTACTCACTGGAAATTGTTTGGCTGTACATTGAAACCCTTGATTGTGTACAGCTGTTCACTACTGTTATAGCTCCTGCTGTAGTGCGTCATAAGTCTTCTTTTTTTAATCTGTCCGCCAAATCATCAGTGCTTTGGCAGACAGCTGGAATTTCACAGCTTATTTTGGTACTCAAGGACACACAGTCCTGCCAGAAAGAACAAGGACAGGAGGAGACATCTGAAAGAGTAACCTCCCACATACATATAATGCACACTTGTGCAATTAAAATACATTATTTTTAATATAAATGCGTCTGGACTTCAGGTCTAAAGTGATGGAATAAAAACATAAATCAAATTGTGTATAAATAGACACACATAGAAAGTAAATTACTTATATTTACTTTAATTAAATTGATTAACATTTAAATTACAAATGACAACACATTTTCTTTTGCTCATCTTTATTAAGTGGTTAATAGTCACGTCACAAGTTAACAATTAATCACAAGTAACATACCAGTCTTTCATACCAAATATTCAGACTTGCAAGGTAGAGATAAGCTCAATCTAAAAAAGACAAATGCCTCTAGCAGTTTGTTTGTTGTTCTCTGCATGCTCTGACTATGAGGTTGTGCCTTACAGTAAAATACATCACACTACAGTGAATTCACTACACAGGACTCAAAAGTAGATTACTTAGACCGGCTTATTTTTTTCTTCATTTTCACCAACATCAGATTTGCTCATTAGCTGGAATAAGCACAAAAGGATGTACAATACTTTTACAATACAATACCAGTAACACTGATCTATTATTTCTACTCCTCTGTTGGAATGTTAATTTCACTGGTCTATCTGAAAGCTGCAAATAAGGAAACTACTTTTCAGTACTGTGCTGTGATGCTAACACGTTTCTGTAGGTGGGAGACACATTTACAAGCTCCGGGTACATATCTACCAACATTAGTACATTTTTTTGCAAAGTGAAATTACCCATGTATGTATTTTTTACGTGTGTTAATCAAATTCAGCCACATTGTTGTTGTTGGTGTGACTTTTTTTGCCCCACAATTTAATTTCAGAATAATATCAAGAAGATAACTTGATTTAAATATCCCATGTTGGTAGGTATGACAAGATGTCATTATAGGGGAGCTTTTTAAGACAGAACATTACATCCACCACATGCCAAAAGTCCTGATACTCTTTTATCTAACTTTAGTGAAGGTGAACAGAAGAAAGGGTCAAGTGTTTAAGGGTGGCACCTGTAGTGCACTCTAATTGAACAGTTTGATGATGTTCACCAACCAAATCAAATTGTTTGTTGATCATACCAACGTGGCACACTGGCCCTCACCCAAAAATCCTTGTTCTATACTAAAATTTCAAAATAATTGTGAAAATTTAGCAGCTTCTTTTCTTGTCTGAAAAAGTCATTCAGTAAAAAGATTTGAGGCAAATTTTGTTATTTATCCATAAAGGTATCCAGCTATAAACATTAAAGCCCACCCGTCAGCGTCTTTTTTATTTATTTTTAGTCGTACTTTTAATACTGAAACAATGTGAATTTTAAGATACTATATAGCGTAACTGAAGCGTCATGACTAGGACGAGGACTCTTTTTCATAACCTAAGCTCAATCCTCTAAAATATTTTTTGGAGTCCACCCATGATGTATTCATTTACACTCATACTTTTGAAACAGACTTTTTTTGACACTTAGACAAAGAAATTACCAGTAGCTATAGTATAATAAAGGGCACATAATGTATATCACACCATGATCCCAAGTGTTGATGTGCTAAGAACAATAATACAGAAATATGAAATGTGCAAAAGTTGTTTTTTTCTCAAATATCTGCTAAGTTTAATAATAAGGGGATGAAACCTGTTCCTGATTGATGTGAGGAAAACCGAGGAAAATAATGATGTCTTTATACTAACTGAATGACAGCAGACAGGTGGTACAGAAATAGTGCTGTTTTAAATAAAAATTGAAGCCCGAATGCTTGACAACCAACAGGACAACGGCACCAAATGTCAAACAGAGACATTGCAGGAGTTGCTCACAAACAAACCAGAGAATATCCTTGTTAAGTCTAGCCTAGCCTAGCCTCAATCTGGTAGATAATCACTAGATTAACAAGCCCAAGGGTCAGTGCCACATTTATTAGAGAGATGGTTTTTATAGGCCACCCCCCCACCCCCGCCCAGGTGATTTAAGTTAATTAGAGTACTGCATTGGTTCCAATCAGGACTGCACATCATACAACATATAACATACCTGTATAACCCGCCCTATTTTGTTCAAACAGTCTGGCCATTGAATAAACCTGTCAGTGTGACTACTTTTTAATGTGCTACCCTGTCACCCAACTTTTAAGGGCAATTTCAGATGTCTTTGAATTCCTTCGAGCCCAAACTAATGTCTGTCCCTGGAATGCGTCTGAAGTTACTGGAGTGCAATGGTTGTCGAAATAAAAATAAGTAATCGACCTTACCCTGTTACTGTTTTAGAAACCCATACCATGTCAATTTGAAGGGCAGTTGCAAATTATTCAACATGAATTTACCTTGTGGCATTGCTCTCAGTACACTCTAAGCTTTTACCCGTAGGCCTGAAAGCCTGTTCTGTGACAGAGGAATACACATGATGATGTATGGTTTCTAAGTCAGCTTTTTGTTCTTCAGTATCAGAGCCAGACCGTCAGAGTTCCAGAGGCAAAGCAGCGCTCTCTACAGGATGGATACAGTAGCAACACTTCACACGTCTGACAGTTGTGGACACGCCACGAAGAAATTCCCCACAGATCAACAAAGACCAGTTCAACCAGTACAGTAAGTAGACACTGCTTAGGAATACACATTAATTATTAAATCCAATTATATTAGAGTGTCACTTCTTGTTAATTTATGAGAATAACACAAAACAAGATACCATTTGCCCCATAGCACATCATTTTAGACTATAATATTGAGATCGAAGGAGAGCTGAAATACCTCAAACAACACCTGAACCTAACTGTTCCCACAAATACTAACTTTGCTGATTTTGGCAAAAGCCCACCTTTACATTTTTATATTGTCCTTACTGTGCAATTTCTATGCCATATTCCACCCATACTGCTATGATCAATGGTTAAGCTTGGATTATATTAACCTATAATAATATTAGCTACCGTATGATGTTTATTTTGTGTACCTTAGAATATGTACAAGACAAATGAAACGAAACAAAAACAAAAGCTTGACAAAAGCCATTTACGCCCATCCATGTCTATTTACATCACATTAAGGGACTCAAATGTGCCACAGAGGAGGTGAACCACAAACTAATATGCGCTAAAGCAGCTTTGTGTAAGAATAAATAAGAAAATTCCTTTACAGTTACAAATGACATTCCACTTTCATACTAACCATGAAAGTAATAATTCGACGGAGTGAACTTGCTGCTCCCTTCAACTGTTAACCTGTGTGGTGTGTCTTTTCTGCTGGCCCTCCTTTGTGTGTCTAAGGTCACCGTATTGCTGTTAACAATATAGATAGAAGTAGAACACTGGGTGAGGAGACAACGATGGCAGGAACACTGGTCATCAACACGGGTCGTCATAGTTTCAGCAACATCAGCGTAAATCACTAAGACACGATGGAGTGATGTGTCCACTCGATATAAATACTTGAGTAAGCAGCACACACACTTTGGACTCCAGGCTGCGCCTTTGTGTTTGTGTACCTCACTGTATTATACTGTATGTGTGTGTGTCTGTGTATGTGTGTGTGCTTTGATATATAGCCACGTTCTTATTGTTTATCGTGTGTTTGCCACCACGATGTAAGCAGATCTCTCAGAGTTGTTTCTCTAGTGGGACGTGAGCCCACTGGGATGGACATGATGATCAGGATGTTTAGGGGAATATTGAGAATATTGCTGTCAGTCAACTGTCAGTACTAGAAATAGATCAGTGTAAAAGCCTGTCCCCCACCCATGCAGTGAAGTGTATTTATGTGAGCTATAGTGAAGGATCCATGAGTGGTTTAGTGACATCAAGGCTGGACTGGTATTAAAGAACCAAGTCTGAAGGTGGATGCTGCAGAATGTTTAAATTACGTTTGCTTTTACGTCTTGTGTACCAGCAAAAATGTTGCCCAAAGTCTGGAAACTCAAGTGCGGGTTTAATCAACATTCATGAAACAGGATTGGTGGGATTGAGGGAAGACCACCAAGCCATCAGTATAAAGACAATGGTTTCTTTAACCTTGTCCCAGTCCAGCCTTGCGGTCAGGGAGTGTGCAGTGACAATGTGTTCCGGTGTGAATATTTTCTGATATTTACCTTATAGTTTTGAAAACAGACATTGGTAGGTATTGATTATCTTTACGAAGGGTATAAACAAAATCACGAGCCTTTTTCAGTACAGTGCAGTACAATATAAGGTGCTATTTTTTCAAACAAGTTAAATAAAAAAGGTCTCAGGTGCTGAAACGTTTGCAGGAGTTGGACCAGATGGGTTTGATTTAGGCAGAAAAGTTAAAAGTTAAAATGTGAGGTAAAAAAAACAAACTATGCTACACAGTAAATCGTGGTCTAACCACAAGGTGGCACCAAATCCACCAACATATATTTTATGCAGAAGCTTGCAAAAAAGCAATGCTCTAAGACGGTGGTTCTCAAACCTTTTACCACATGGCCCACCTCTGGTTCTCCAGGTGCCAACTTTAAAATATAGCAGCAGAGCCCCACCCTGTTCAACTAAGACCAGGATACAGTGTTACTAATTTATTTCTATTACGATTATCAGCCCTATTTTCAGCCAAACAGTGAAGTAAAAGCACAACTGGAACTTGAACAATCTAGTTCTGAAAACATGCACACAGGGCATGCTAGAATACTGCATTTCTAATGGGAATTGGATTTCCCTTCTTACCACTAGAGGGAACCCAAGTACCATCAGTTGTACAGGAACCACAGTTTTAGAATCACTGCTCTAAGGCAAAAGTGGGCAGTTAACACAACACAAGTAGTGAAGAGGTGGTAATACCTAGTTGTTCTACCATAGGACTTTGTGCAGTGCTAGTGTTGTTGATTTGGAAATATTTGGTATTTCCCTGGGAGCCTGGAATGTGCTGATATGAAAATTGCCAGTCTTTGCCTAGCTGCCAGCTTGTAGCAGGCTTTCTGCTGGTGGGTTTGGGTTTTCAAGGTTGATTGGACTTGGACTTCAAATTAGCAGGAGCAGAAAGCAGCGGTGCTGTTGAAATAACATGTTGGATTTGAACCAAGAAGGCTGGGCTGAATGAAAACACCGGACCTGTGAATTTAAGAGACTTGAAACACTGCATGGAAACCTCACGTTGCCTGAAGTAGTGAATCCACCATTAGCTACGCTAGGGGGGTCTATTGCACTGAGGTTGTTGGACGTGAGTAGCTCGTTAAGCTTCACACAGAGAAATACAGACAACAGTAGGCCCTCCTCTCTGTTATAGACCTGGCCGATGCCAACCCACAGGTGTCGATTGGTGGAATGGCCGAAATGGGAGTGAAAAGCTGGCAAGCAAAACCCCAGAGAAAGATTGACAGGCAATCATTCATTCAGGTGCTGTGGTGGGCAGGATGGAGGTGGGTCCAGATGGAAGTACTGTAACTGTGCTGTGACGGGTCGGGTGGACGGTTTGTTGGCAGGTCAGCGAACACTAGGTGTGCCTCCATAAGGTGCATGGAAACTCAATCTGTAAATGGAAAACAAAGTGCATTTTAATTAGAATAAACACACTGACCAGAAAGGTGTAAATGATCTCAACAGGCTGTAAGAGTCAGGAACAAGTTCAAATCATCTGGCTGATCTATCAAGGGATAAAAGATTCTTTATAGTTCCCTACAGCACATCAATCACTTAGGCTTAGTCTGGCAACCACACAGGTGGCAGAGGTCTGGTGTCTCTGAACTTGGCGTCTGGAAGCCACTGACAATGTCAGATATAAATATAACCTGTGGGACCTGATGATCTGTACTCTGCTGTTCCCTCTGTGATTTGATTCAGTCAGTGAGCATCTGCTAACCTTGTTTACCTTGGATCTTCGGCAGAAGGCAGCTGCAGCCACTCTGGTTTGACTGAGCGTCACACGTTCAGTGTCACTTTTTGTAGGCAACTGCTTAGGGCTTTTAAATTTTGAAATTAGATTCATATAGCAAAAAAAAAAAAACATTTTAAAGTTCAGTTTAAATAATTAAAAAATGCAAAGGTTCAAATATACATTTGGATCTATTGAATCAACATAAATATAATAAATATTATATATTTTTTAAATTTCATACATACATACATATAAACCTCTGTCCCATCATGACATCACCAAAATGCTAAATACGCAGCTGTGTGTGTGTTTGCATGTGTTTACACCCACTTGTCTGAGTGATGTGCTTGTTTACGCTAAGTCCATCTCCCCCAAAGGGAGCAGGTGCAGACTCCTTCACCCCATTCTCCTTGGCAACATCTCCTGGTGCTGTTGCCTTGGCAACGCCTGCTGGGCTTCTAGCAGGAGCACCACTTGTGGGTGAAGATGTCTTCTGCTCTGCCTTTTCTTCCTGTATCCAAATAAGATAACACTGGCATCACGTGACAGATAGACATGTAAACATACAAGTCCCCAGACTTCTTTTTCTTTATGTATTACACCATCTAGTGGTGATGGCTAGTAAAAGCACAGTGAGTCAGCAGACCAAGAGAATTGATGTCTGCTTTAACTGTCTACCTCTACTCTTCCTACTACTATTGGTAGTAAATATTGCATTATTAAAAATACCATACAAAGTATTAGTGTGACCTTGTGTCCATTGGTCTGCGCATCTCCTTCATCCACATTGTCCAGAGATCCGATCTTAGACTTGGCCTTAATGTTCATCTTATGGGATTCTATCTTCACATCGCCACCACCTAGGGTAAGAAAAGGATAAGAAGATGTAGAAGAGGGTAAAGACAGGAAATAACAGGGGGCAAAAGTGTGAAGTTCAACCTGGCTTATGTTTGATGTTGTCCTTGGAGCCACACTTGGAGGTCACCCTGCTCACATCAATCTTCTTACTCAGGATCTGCACCTAAAGTGAAATGAAAATAAATCACATTGAACCAAATCTTCTGTAATTGGACACTAACTGTATCCAGCTGTTCTCTTTTTGACTTCAATACCAAATTCTTTAAACAATTGTCAGCTCCCATTTTTGTACTACGACATCTGCAGGGAGAACAACATTGTGTTTGCTTTAAAAGAAAATGTGAGAGAATGTCAGACAAACAAACACTTTGGTGTCTGACCTGTTCTATTCTTAGAGAGAGAGAGCGCCTGTTTGTTTTCTTAGGCTGGTAAATGATGCTGAGAAATCAAGACAGGCTGTAATTGGAGGAGCGGGAGCAGCCGGTTGTTAGGCTGTTGTCATGTCAGGAGTGCGTGTGTTCAGGATCACAGTGAGAACATCTAAATGCTCTGACAGCAGCAGACATCACTGGACTAAAAAAAACATCTTCCTGACCTCATCCCAGTTTGTCACAAGGTCAAGTCGACTCGTAGGTTTGATGATGATAATCACACATTGGCTTTAACCAACCTAGGACTGCTGAAACCATAACTGGTTGATTGATTGACATTTATGGTCAGATGTATGGATGTCCGATAATATCAGCTAATTGAGGATATTATCAAATGCATCTATATTTGGGTGAGAATAGTTTTTTTTATACTTTTCCTATAAACTAAACATGTTTAGGAATATATTTGATTTTATTTCATTTGCTATTATTGAATTTTTAATTTTGTATTAGCCATAGATTTGCATTTCCTAAGTGGGTTGACTGTACACACCTCCAGTTATATAGAAGTAATATAACAAAAAAGGTAAAGTTACAAAATGTAAGAAGTAAATATCAAATAGACAAGATTCACATTTGATCCCTACTTTTCAACTGTCCAAACCAAAACTAGTTTGACAGATGAGCGTCCACTCTAATCAAAGGCGGCAGCTCTTACATTACCCCCTCCAGGGACATGCTTGATGTTGTCCTTGGAACCACAGCGAGACGTGACATGGCTGAAGTCCAGCTTTTTGTGCACTATTTGAACCTAGGAACAGCAAGAAAGGATGGAAGGAAGGGAGGAAACAACAAAAGAAGAAGAAAGAACAGAAAACTGGAATAAGCAGTGAAAGAGAGCAGATCAGTGGGAAGTTTAACAGAAGACCTTCACTGGAAATCAAACCTGCCTACTTTCTAAGTTCCGTACTTAGATTTACATTAATATAACAACACGAATTGAATGGACCAATAATGAGTAATTATTGGTTTCATGTTCAACCGTGAATGAAGCCGTATGTATTATTATAACCGCTATTTTCTTATTATCAAATACTTTGTTGATGCTCCCTAACGAAAGACTGTTTTTACATCAATGTTGATGTAAGTGTTGTTGACGGTTTAATGATACATCTTTGAATATTTGAAGTATAAATATTGCACTGTCTGAACATAATACCTTCGTAACAACTGATGTTGTCGCTGTCTGTACTTTTCTACTACTATGTGTTGATTTTGGCTTCAAAACTCTAGAGACACAAACAGAAGAAGAGAAATGGCAGACAGGTGGACAGACTTTGGTCTCGATCATTATTTCATTAAACACCGTCCAGACGGTGAGGGCAGCAATCAGACGATAAGTGTAATAACAGGACCAGAGGAAATGGAGATCTGAGACACCTTCTTCTAAAACCTCTACCATTTGTCTTAGTCTTCCCCTCCCCAAAATGGCACAGTGACGCAGGTAGCACAGGCAAACGATGAGTCACTGAGCAGTTAGCGCTAAATTGTCCCCGCTCTAGTTCTCTCTCTCTCTCTCTTTCACACACACACACATCTGAAGCATGCATGCACTACCTGTTTGCGTGTGTGTAAGTCAGAATGAGAAGCATACGACCCCTCTATGTGTGAATATCAAAAACTCACCTAACACAGTACTGTCAAACTTTGTTTCACAGTAAATGTAAATGTATTTTAAAAAAAGAAAGAAAAATCAACAGTGAAATATGTCACACATTGGGACACACACACTTTGTTACCCAAAGTGCGGGGTGGCCCCACACTAGGGGACGTGGAGTTACTGCAGGGAAGGCACATCACGTCAAATTTGTCTCACTTTCGATATTTTCATTTGTCCCACAGTGGGGGAAACTGCACCAAATTGTAATTACATTCCGTGCAGTAATATCAGTTCTGTGCAAACTTAAAAACAAAAAAAGTTTAGTAAAGATTTGAAACTTTGAAGACGGGGGTCTCAACAACACTCATATCTACAAATATGTGAAGCAGGACAATTCAGCATGGAACTGGAGACTGTCCACACAACAATAGTATTTTCTCAAAAATGTCCACGAAAAATTCCTCTTGTCTCTTTGTCAGGACTGACAAACTACACGTGTACGTCTCAGATCTTTGTGCTGACGGAACGTTTGCCGTCATCTTTGAACGATGCCTGTGCTGTTTGTCATTGGTCGTGAAGGTCAGCTGCTCTGTGTACGCTGATGCCAGCAGTGCCATTTGACTCACTTTGATATTTTACCAGAGCAGAGTACCCACCAGCAGTTTGTCCTCCAGAGAACGTAGGGACAGCAAAGAATGAAATTGATTAGTGATTGATCGTCTGACTTCTACATGTGAAGCTGTTTGTGTGTACAGTCACCCATCAGGAAATTGGAAACCAAAATGTTGCAGCAGTCAGCGAACCTGAGAGTTGGACTGTGCCAGTTCTGCATGTGTGAGATTGTATCCTCAAAAATAGTTTTTAGACAAGGCACATTAATCACTCTGACTGTGTATGACTATGGTATATGTGTTTTATGTCTTTGACTATTTTTTTGACTTTCTAACTCTAACAATAGATTTTTAATGGTCTGGCTAAACTAGATAGTGGGGAAAACTAGTTCTTATGGGCAGACACATCCAGCACCGTACGTGGAACCTGGCTCCTACTTGTTATAGCTGTTAACACTCGCCCATTTCCTGGGGTAATAACACTGCTCTTAATAGGTCAAACTCCTTGTTACTCATCGTTTAAATATTTTCAGACCCGGTATCATTTTTTCACCTTCACACATACAGTACTTGCTGGTTCTAACAGACATTGTCACGACACGTATTTTAAATTTGTACGGATCTGACAAGTGCATTACAAACTTTTTGTTCGTTGACTTTGGACAGCCCTCCTTAAGGGCACAATTTTACTGAATTAGTAAAAAATCGAAATCACATCCATGTAGAGTCTTTACACACAAAAAACACGTCTCTTATCTGTTTTAGCCAAAAGTATCTGATACGGAATTGTTGATTTCTGTCAACTGTCAAGAATACCTTTGTTTGACCCTATAGACAGGCCTGGTTTAAGGTGCTGAATACAGTGAGAGGAGGAAGGTTTGCATGAGGTGTGAGGGTGTCAATGGGTGGGACTCACTTTGGCTTTGGTGGCAAGGGCGCTGGGGTCTGATGTCTTGTTGTTCTGGGTGGAGGAGACCTGGGGAGATAACCACCCCGCGGTCAAAGAACCTCCAGAAAACCACAAATGTACCACAACACAATAGATGGTGGAGGAGTGGATGGAGTGATGAGGATACAGAGTTGGTAAAATATATGACATACGGTATATGGAGTGGAAGGAAATGGGTGGATCTTAATACAGTCAGTGTCAGGGAAAGAATATGAAAGTCAGGATGGATCAAATACAAACTTTTACCATCACGTCTATTAGATACATATGTGGACATTTTGTATTATTTCTTTAGTTTTTAAAGGAACTATTCACTGACAACTATTAACTACACATCCTTCACCTCCAGCCTCGGGCTCATGATCATCCTGTCTGACACTGTCTGCACTGTTGCTCTGCAGAAACTGTTCGGTTAAGTCACAGAAATTGCTCTCTCTTAACTGAAGTCTTGCCAGTGAAGAAATTAAAGTGAGCTAGTATCATTTATTATTTTACACATCTTTCAGTGGTGGTTTAGTGGTTAAGGAAGCAGACTAGGGTCCAGAAGGTTTGAGTCCTCCAGTTGCCAAGTTACCACTGAGGTGCTCTGAGCAAGGCACCGTCCCCACACACTGCTCCACTGTTCACTTTGGTGATGGATTAAAAGCAGAGGTCACATTTGGTGACGTACGTCAAGGGCACGGTGCAACCTGGGCAGTTCCCCAGTCCACCACAGGGTCGCACATAGAGACAAACAACCATTCACACCCACATTCACACCTACGGTCAATTTGGAGTGAACAGTCGACCTAATCCTGCACATTTTGTAGACTATAAAGAAACCTGAGAATGTAGAAAAAATAGACAGGAATGAAGAGAAAGATCTGCAACAGAACCAGCTATTGTGTTGACAGCGTCAGTATGTGCCTCACCTTTTCGTGACACATCCACTGAATTCAGCTTGTGCCTTACTATGTGACCTGTTTTTTTTTGTGATCTAACTTCAAGACTGACTCACCAAGGTTTTCTCACTATGCAAATGATCCTTCAGTCAAAGAAACAACTGGCAGTCTGTGACTGAAGCCTCTGCTCTCAGCTCATCACTGAACCTTTCATTCAAAGTCATTTAGAGCCTGGTGTAATCAAGATACAAATTTAGTATCAGCTGAACCAAATGAGCCACTTTACATGCTCCACTGAGCATGTTTGAATGGTAATTAGAATTTGGTCTACTTCAGTAGAATTACCTGCACTCTTCTGGACATTTTTTTCTCATTTATTCTCTTTCTCTTTCCTTCATTTTCTTTTGACCTGTCAATATAATATAACCCTTAAAAATAGCCTGAAAAAACGTTTTTCTAGAGCGTGGATGCCTACACAATTTATTTGGATTGCAAGCTAATATAAAATGACCTTTGTCTACCTACATAGGTAACAGGTCAATACCTATGTTATGCTGTAATGAAGTTGTAATGATTGTCCAAGGGACTTATTATTTGTAAGAATGTCAACATTTTTAAGATTCAGGACAATTAAAATGTTCAGATTTTAGAAATATAAAAAAATGGGACTAAATTGAACCATTCAAGTTCAAATCATCAAGTCTTTAAGGAGAGAAGGAAGTCTGACAAAACCTTTATTTTCATGTGGCTCTTACCTGTTATTGAAAATAATAAACATCAAATTTAGCATCCAGTGATTTAATCCATCCAGTAAAGCTGTCACCTAAATATATTTTATCTTTATGTTGTCATTTTGAGAGAAATGGAGCTCATGCTGATGTGCCGCTTGCACTCTGTTGTTGTTGTTTCAAGGGAAAATGATGAGTCACTGAATCATTACATAAAACTGGCCACGACACATCAATCTGGTGAAAAATGCCACTGATTTCGGCCAGAGCAGCAACTCAGAGAGGTGTGCTCACCTAACCTGATATGACACAGAACAGCTGCCAGAAAATGTTGAGGCCGGGGGTCTTTTCTCCAAACTGACGGAGGGATGAATTCATTCCATTCAAATACATTCAGCCTCAGGCCAGACTATTAACAATCAATGAATTATCAATCGTCTCAGACTATTAACTGATTATTGTCTGGGTTTCTCCTACCTTCCCTCCTCCTGGCTGGTACTTGATATTATCAGTGGACCCGATCTTGGAGCGAACGTTCTTCAGATCCGGTGTCGGGGCGTTGCTGGGATAAGGGCTTCGATTAGTACGTGGTGCTGCTGGCTTCTTCTCTATCTTGCTTGGAACTTGCTTGGGCACAGGGGGTTTAGTGATGATTCGGCGGCGTTGAGTGGCGTTGGTGTCACCGTTTGTGGAGGCAGCAGGAGTAGCAGGTGTGGTGGAGGAGGCTGGGCGGGGGCGAGCTACAGAAAAATAAAACCATAGAAAATAACTGGCACATATGTGTAACAATAGTCCAGACCTTTCATCTGTCACGACGATCGTCATCACTGCTCAGCTAATCCAAGCACTTGACTTTATTTTATTTTACCTTTATTCTCAATATATTTTTATGTTTTATAATTTACAGTTTGTCTGAGTCAATAAACCCACAGTGGATTTAATGTTGTCCATTGAAGTTGTACACACTGTGATGTTCTAGACCACATGACGTTGTGCAGTTCAAGGAGGAAATATTGTTCAACTAATACTACATACATATACGAGTACTGTAAACTGGGTATAGTGTGTGTGTGTTTTTTTACCTGTACTCTTGGGTTTCTTGATGTCTCCCGTCTTGCTTTTAGCCTTGTCAGTCTTGTTGGCTGTGTGGTAGAAAACATTTAAGAAACTTTTTTTTTAGTTTTTTTTTTAGTTAATGTTCTGTATCCCACCTCTCCAACTGCACAGATACCTCGGGGTATATTGTTAAATCAATTCCAATAATAATACTAATACATTAATTGATTTCCAAAAGGGCAATGAGCGTTTACTGTTGCAGACAAAAGTGATGCAGTTCGACCTACCTTAACCTTTAAAGCTGCAACAATCGTATTTTGGTTTAAAATAGCACACCTTTTTATAACCTTTAAGCTTTTGACTCACTGTTTTAATTATAAAACACATTGATTTCACTGCTGTCACCAAATCCAATCCATTCTTTAACAAACATTTTCAGCAGTAAAAATAACATTTTTTTTGTCACCATCTTTGTGAAGCATTTTCCCATGGCTCGGGAGAAATAGTCAGAGTAATTTAGTGCATTTTTTTTATTTTGATTTTGATATTGTTGTAAGTATATATAAAAATAAATATATATAATATATTATATGTAAATATATATAAGAAATCATTTACATTAAATCTAAATGTTATATAAAGATAAAAACAAAAGGGTTGTTCATTTTATAAACACGTGAGTCATGTCTTCAACTTCATCTATCACTAACTGAGACTATTTCAACATTTCAATTGGCAAAATTAGTTGTATTTTCACAGAGTTTAAAAGCAAAATGCCAGTGTGAGCTCACAGCTCCGACTGAGTCATCGCTCCCTCACGTCTGGAGGTGATATTCTGTTTGTTATGTGATAAAAAAAAAACAAGGTTATGTTTTCTTCAAAGGCTTGTGATAACATCCCTCGAGTTAGATATAAATGATAGCTCTTTAATGGCAGCAAGTAAATATTTTTCCAAGTACTGAAAAGAGTTCCGTTTAACAAAGGTCAAACATGCGGAGGTAAACAACGTCTAACTTCTGTGTGGTGTCAGTGAGCACGTACCAGGAGCTTTGTTTGCAGGAGGTACAGCAGAATCATTCTTATTAGGAGCTGCTCGTGGTGTAGGCGTGGCCTTAGGAACAGGCGGACGTTTCTTAGTCAAACCATTTTCTGGAGCCTGGAATTAAGTGTAAAGATGGATTGTATGAATGTTCAGCAACATGTTTGACACAGGTGTGTGTTTTCCACCATGGAATGATATTAGAGAATCAAAACAGATGGGAATCAGAGCGGTCACTGTTACTGTAGCTGCTGCGGTGAGAACCTGATCTATACTTCAATCATGATGCCTAGTGTGCTGGAGGAACTCCCACAATTCTTCAACGCCCAGCGAGGGCGTAGGTGGTCAACGGAGTCATGAGTTCTGTTTTTTTAGTTCCTGAACCTGCAGTTTTTTCTTACTTGGAGGCTTTTAATTGACCTCTCTGAATATCCTGATGGTAAAGAGGTTTGAACGGTCCTTAACCTTTGGTTGGTCAGACTTATATTTTGCTATATTTTTCGCATGTTTGGCTATATGAACCTATGTGAATTCTAAATGTCTTAGTGTCAAGTTATAATGTAGTACTTTTATACATCGCTCTGTACTTTTATACGTTGCTCATTTGGTTGTTTTCAACTCTGAACAACGTGTGTTTTCCCACAGCGCACTCCAGGCGGTGGTGTGTAGCGACAGACTCCCAACAGAATCAGGACAAAGGGCCTATTTTCGGATTAGACTCAAATTCAGCTTTGTCACGTTGCCTGGGCTTGGACCTCAGCTGCAGAGCAATTTGGTTCTCTGTGTGACGCATGTAAATAAATGTACTGAAGAGGGAAAAGATTCAAACATATTAGACTCTATAGCAGTTTAATTTTGTAAAGCAGATCGAAGAAGGAGATGTAAATATAGTGAGACAGTAGATCAGATATTCCACGTGTGGATGTTCTCTCATCCAGTAGGTCAATGGTTCCCCAAACTTTTTCTGCAGGCTCTTCCACCCGTTTGTAGATAAGGCATTAGTGTTCAGGAGAGGACGCAGGTGCGTTAGTCTTACCTTACTCTTGCTTTCCGGTGACATCTTGCCGTTGTTGTTTGTAGGAGACTTGGCTGTTCCTTTCCCTCCCTTCTCAACCACCTTTGTCTCCTCCTCCTTCTTCTTCTCATCCTTGTTGGTCTTCTCTGGTTTGTCCACCTTCTCTGTCTTCTCATTGGCCTTGTCTTTGTCCGTGTTGATGGTCTTCATCTTTTCCTCTTCTTTCATCTGAATCTTATCAGATTTCTGGTTCTTGTCAGGTCCGTCATCTTTCTTCTGTGGCTCCACCTTGTCCTTCTTGTCAAAGATGTCCGTCTTCTCTGTCTTAGCAGGTGTGACATCAATCTTTTCAGGCTTGTCTTTGTTGTCAGCTTTCACTGTAAGACAGAGATCAAATTGGCTCTTGTTTAATCAGAACCAGGCAGACAGAGAAAATCCCCAGTGATTATTGTCAGATGTCAAGTTACTAGAGTTTTAATATTCTTATCACCAATGTTACAGCTAATGGAAGGTCTCTGGTACGGAAGATTTAGCTTTTGTGTAATAGAAAAATGAAGGATAAATGGTTGGTTATCACACCAGAAATATAAAAAGGTAAATTATAGCGTCTTCAGTCTTTCTATAAATAAAACAGGCATCCATTTTTCCCACTGCAAGCTTTTATGTTTCGTGCAAATGAGCTACAGGATTTTTTCTCTAAGTCTCTAGGATCAAATGTATCAATTACTACATGTTCTGCATATTTACTGCATGAATTTTAATGTCCTCCACCAGAGAGTATTTTGCAGTGTAAAGCTGGAGTACACAGTAATCTACACAGGACAGAAAGTGCAGAGTAATCCTTTCTTTATTTGCGCAGCGTGAGGTAAAACATTTCCGACGTCATCATGGCAAACAAACAAAAATAAAACCTGTGCTCTTCTTTTTGCAAATACCAAACACATGCGTCCGGGGTCACGGCCAGGTTTAATCCACTGTACACAAACACAGTTCTCAAAGTGCACGAGGCTTAAAACGCTGCTCGTCTTTCTATTTCAGCACAACAAATTGCAGCTCATTACTTGACCTCCAGTCGTCCTCCGTTCAAATCAAATAATAATAGCCCTTTCAAATCCATTACATCTCCGGCTCCTGAACTCAAAAGCCTTGGAACACACAATTAACACCAGCGTTCAGCGTTTCCCTGGAAAGAGAGGCAAAGCTAATGTAGGCCTAGCTTTCCTTTTATACACTGTATAAAACTGACGCACCTCTATGGCTGACAGCTTGATGAGAGCACCACGGGTTTTACAAAACCTTGTTTTAAAATGCAGCCGCATGGCTCAGGACATGGATAGAGTTTGAAAATTGATGTGCACTTGTGCACTGGTGGGCATCAAGTTTTGGAACCACACAATACTGAATAAAAAACAAACCAGAAATGAAGAAGGAAAACAGTTTTTTACTAGATTGCACAAGGCTGGTGTTAGAAAGTAGGTATATTATAGTATAGTGTAGAATGGTATGTGCATGTGCGTTTAAATCTTTAAACTTGGAATTCTCATCATTGAAAAATACCGTTATAACTGAACAAAACTATGAGCTTCACCCTTAAATTATATTTTTCATGGTAACTTTTAACAACTAAATCCATTCATCATTTTAATTATTCAATATATTCCACGTAGGCCTGGGCTAATACATTCAGTTTAAAATTAAATGAATGCATTAATCTCTTAAGCTATGATAATAATGTTCCTGTCTGAACAGCGCTAAATGTCATACAGAGCTATTGGAGGTTAATTAATTGTGTTGAGGTGCATTGTATCTTATAAAGCCTCTGGTGGACATTGAATTAAATCACCTTAATTTACCATGACCCAGAACATTACTGGACCAACACTAACACTACAGCAACCGTTAGAAAATGTGTTGTTTGTGTTGTTATTTTGTGAAATCTAAACTGCGACATTTCTAAGAAACATTTATTTTACCTGTTACCTGTTTTTGATACATCACCAGCGATAAGAAAATGTTTGAAGGTCGAAAAACTAAGATAGGCAAATAGAGAGTTGAAAAAAAATGAGAGATGCTCTGCTGTAGTCTGTCTTTGTGCCTGTGTCTTTGCTGCACCCTCACTCTGTCTTGTGTTCGTCTCAGGTGTCATGCGCCTTTAAAACCCTCCTTGCATCATTAGTCTTTTCTTCGACACATCTGTGTGCACTTACACATGTGATACCAGAAATAGCTGCTCTATATTTGAATGAGCACAGAGTCGATGTCCAATCAATGTGAGAGTGGGTCTCTGTGGAGTGGTGTCTAAAAACTCGGCTGAATGGATGACGAATCAGCGGCACAAAAGAAATACGCACAGAAAATATAATGACGGGAGTTGACAGAAGAAAAGACTACAATGACAGGAAATGGAATGTACTCACAGGAGCCCTGTAATTACTGTGGGATGCAAATCAAGTACAATTCAGTCAAAATTTAAACCTTGTACAGCCTATGTCTTTTCCCTTTTCACATTTTTTTCAATTAGAAATACTGATTTATTCTAGGGAACTTTTGAAATAAGACAAATGATGTGACGATATCGAGGTATTCAAGTGATTGTCTTTTATGTTAGTGTGAAACGTATTTGATGTCACCCTGTTAATATCATTCATTTATTTATCTTCCATCCCTTAAACCTCTTAAGATACAGGCGTTCAGTTACCCAGTAGGATTAAACTGGTGGTCTACGGGCTGACATAGGCACTGATGTTCCTCATGGTGGCCCCTAATTAAATATCCTGCTACATAAATAGATTGGCAATGAAGACAACATCCAACAACACACTTGTTTCAAACTTAAAGGATCTGTTAAGGCGGTGCATCACAGGTGCCTCAAACATGTGATCAAAAGAAACCAAATGTGTTTGTTGTTGTTGTTCTGGTAACGGCTGTGAATCAGCTGGTAGAGCAGGTTGTCTCTTTTATTTGAAATACAGGCTGTTTGATCCCGCCGCAGCTTCCACCTCCTGCAGTCTGCGCTGGCAGGGTATGAACAGCAAGGCGTGAAGAGGACATGTTGAAAGTGAAAGTGCTGTTTGACTGATTGAATGGAATGGATTGGACTGGAGCGGGCCTCAGGTGGTCATCAGAACTGACCATTTATGAGTTAGTACCATGTGTTTGGACTACCTCAGTAGTAACCGACATCATATATGTATACACAGTGCTCAAACTGATTTATTTTTCTTTCTCAATGTAAAATGCCCACAGTGTTTTTTAACATTCTGTGGTTACACTGCCAACAAGTGATTCACCCCACTGATTCACAGACCAGTATCAGAATCCAGAAGAAACTCTAGCGATAGAATTCATGATGAGCAAAACTGGATTTAATGTTGCTCAAATGCAACAATGTAGTAATTATGTCATTTTTGTTGAGGCTTACTTTAATATACATTAACTAAAAGAAACAAAATGGGGGGAAATGTGTTTTTTCTAGAAAACAATTTCTGACTGAATTATTTATTGTTTCAGAAAGGACTATGCACCGTAGATGGAGTTATATTTTATATTTCTTGACTCTTGGTGCCACGATATGCAACTACATTTTGAGTTTATTTTCACTGAATCCCAGCAAACACTGGCTGCAGCTTCCTCTGTAAACAACCCACTCAGGGGTAGAAGATGAATTAATAACTTATTATGACCAGGTGTTAAATGTATCAGTGCATCTGTCTTCACAACCACTTAGTTGTCACTACCTACACAGTCACCAGGGTCCTACAGGGATAACATGTCTGTGAATCACTAATTAGAAGATCTAACAGCATTGTACCAATGTGATTCCAGCCACGGTCTGTAATGTTAGCATTTGATCCTTTCCCAAACAAAACTGCTTTAATGTGTGAACCAACCACACTACGGACAGGTCACAGCCTTGAGACATCTGAGTCTGACACAGTGAAGTGTGACAGGTCAGAACAACAGAGTCAGCTTCTCCAGATAAAGGAGACCACCATGAGAACACACACCTCATTGTCTCAGGGACTAATGAGCTCCTGTACAGACAGAACACTGTTCTAACAGATCAGGCCGGCGTGTCTGTGCAGGTTTGACAAAACTGGAGGTTTGTGTGAAACGACACTGCACGCTGATTCCAGTATCAGTGATTCACAAAGTTATTAGCTTGTTATTGGATGACTAAATGTCTTATTTTGGCTCTAAACTTCCTGAGAACCAGATCAACAGTATTCCACAAATTGAACTATTTTTACTGACCACAGAAACCACAGACGGACTCTTACCCACGGTGCCTAGTTTGCCATCTTGACTGGGGGAAATAAAAGGTCCAGTAGGGAGTGGGACAGGCAGTAAAAAGTTTGTCTCGTAGCTGTCGTGATGCCTCCTGGGGGGCGGCGATGACGGCAGTACTGGTGACGTCATGAGCTGAGATGACATCATCGACACTGCAGCAGCGGCTTCCGTGCTGTCCATAAGTGTGAATGAGCGTCGGACAGCGACGTGAGGGTATGGTGCTCTGGGTGGACATGCTGATCCCATAAGAGTAAAGTTTGGAACGTTAGCCATCTGAGCAGGAGACCCTCTGACAACGGTGGGGTACGTTTCAGCCATCAGCATGGGGACAGACAAGTGAGAGCAGTCAGACATGGTGCGTCTCACTGTAGTTCGCTGGGGCACTTCACTGGAGAGGCTAGTTTTTATTTCCTTGTTTTCAGTTGCACCAGGCACCACTTTTACATTCTGGACATGGAGTTCGGCTTGGTCTATGTCTTTTTTGCTCAACGCCGCTCTTGTTTTCGTGGCTGGTAGTGAGCCTGCTGTGAGCTGGGCATTGGCAGCAGCGTTAACCCCTGGTAAGTCAGCAGCAGGTGGAGGAGGAGCATCAACATGTTCACTGTCAACAGTTTCCTTTCTTGAAGGAGATGGTGGATGATTGTTTTTATTGTCTGTAAGTGAAGTGCTGCCCACTGTAAGTGAAGCTGTATTTCTTTCCTCAAGTTCTTGGGCTTGTTGTTTAGGAGGAGGATGCGTGAACTGGCTGTGTGTAGTCACCTGGTGTCCTTGGATGAACAGTCCGTCATTTCGTTGCATATGGCTTTGTCCGGGGATCTCAACTTTCCCAGGTGAGACGGTAGGGGTGGATAACGAGGATGAAGGTGAGGAGTGGGAAGACGAAGGGCTGCTTGGACTCTGTCCTGCACTTCCTAAAAACCCACCTATCCCTTCCGACCTGTGTCCCTCCTCCCTCAGTCTACCTCTGTTGGACACCTCCTCTATCTTCAGTGCTGGCATTCTGAAGCTCTGAGTGGCTGTAGCTCCTGACACTGCCCCAGGTGATGCCACCTCAGTCCTGTTTCTGCCCCTGGCCTCATCCTCTGCTAATGTTTTGTCAGCTGGGGTTTGCCCCGCCAGTGCTGCCTGGCCTCGGCAGTGCCAGTCACATTCCTGAGCTCCGACTGCTGGTATGACGGCACCAGAGAGGGTGTTGGAGGGTTTGTGCTGCTGCTGTTGATGCTGCAGGTGTCCACTGGAATGCTGTCCGTAGCCGTTGCTTCCGCTCATAACACCAGGCTGCTGCCGGGGTGATCCAGACAGGAAGGACATTGTACCGCTCTGTTGTCTGGTCCTTTCTATTTCCAGTAATTTTTCAAAGATAAACTCTTTCTGTTGTCTTTTAGTGCACTTCTCAGGCTCCGTCTTCAACTTGTCCTCATGCTTCTGATGTCTCCAGTAAGTTATTTGTCCAAGAGGTTAAAATGTCCTTAGTGTCCAATCTGTCATGGGCTTTAAAAAATGCTGGAAGTGATAAATCCTTCTTTGGTTAATGGCTCAAAGTTGTCATTTAAAATCTGTGCGTGTGTTTACGGGCAAAAAAAGAAGTGTGGGTGTGTGTGTGTCTGTTCTCGTCTTTTCTCTGAGCGCTGCAGAGATCATCTGTGGGACTAAATTGCACCTTGCTCTTCCTCCTTCCCTCCCTCCCTTTCTCTCTCTCTCTCTCTCTCTCTCTCTTACATCACAGTCACATGACTACAGAAGGCATAATCCCTCATTCATATGAGCAAAAATCTCTGGCCCTGGGTTACAATAAGACGACACAGAACTGCAATAAATGTGCACATGTGCAACAGCTTCCACACAAATTCATTCATTTCTGTTCCTTGTTATTTCAGCCGCCTTTCCACAACCGCTGCTCATCAGTTGATTCTTAACGAGAGACAAACAGGGAGGTAACAGACGTGTCACTGAAGGCTGTCCTGGTGGGTTACTGGTTGTATTTGCCTTGATGGAAGTGTAGTTTGCCATATAATTTAGAGAAACAAACAGCCAGCTGACTGTGGTGATGACGCTCAGCTGGTCAGGCTTTCATTAGGATTCAAAGTTATAAAAGAAATAATCATGTTTTTTTACTTCATCAGTATGTTGTTACTTGGGAGCTTTATCCATCCCTATCGTAATGTTGACCTAGAAAAAAAAAGATTTACCCATGTACAGCATGTGGATGTAACTGGATGAAACCTCCAAACACTTTATACTGAGAAAGTGTTAGAGAGGACTGGCTTTTGATCCCCCAAAGCTGACCTAGAATAAGAACGAGTGATATTTTAGGAATCCAACTCTACACACAACTGACACCACGGAGAATATGAATTAGTTTTAGTGAGTGCAACCATGTGGAGTGCACTGTTGGACATATTAGGTTACCGAACGGCCACCAACTGTATGTGTGTGTATATGTGCATTTTTATATTTGTATTTATATATATATATGGAATATATATATATATACATATATATATACTCAATCTCTCACAGCTCATTCACAGTGATTTGAAATCATTAGTCTAGTCCAAGCTCTTCTGTCCATAAAAACCTTTGTAATGGCAGTAATGTTGTCCCTAATGTCTGTGGCAGCCGACGGCTCATCTTGACAAAACCACAAAGCACTGACAGATTATGGCAAATACCCCTAACCTGAGAACCACCAGTAGTCAGCTGTTCCGTCCTGACACATTTGGGTCAAACCCCTGCTTTGAAGTTTTATTTTAAACATATTGAGAAAATACTGGCTTCCGTATTAAGCTTCTTACAGCACATCACGGCTAACAAACTGGCACCCAGTCATCTGCAACATACACGTATGGCTTATGCCAAGATGACAAAAAAAGTCCAGTCATTGAGTTTGTCAGGGATAGCCTTGCTGTTTTTAAGCCAAAGCCTGATCAGAAATTATAAAAAACAAAGGTGTATCACATCTTAAAAAAAACAAAACACATGAATAATTCAAATATTAAGCATTCTGCATACAGACATAAATCTTCCATTTGAAGGTCATAGCTGATCAACATTAGCCTGGGGGGGGGGGGGGGGGGGGGGAGGGAGATAGAGAGAGAGAGAGGGATGGGGAAGTAGGGTAGTTGTTAGATTGGGGAGGGGCAGGAGGGAGTGGGTGATCTTTTCTGAGTGTTTCTATTTTTACCCTTCAACCTTGCCAACTGTCACACCCAGTAAACCTCTCCTCCTTCCCTCTACCACACCCCCTTGTTGTTTCTACGGCAACCGCCTCCCATGTCTCGCTGTGACTACACCTCCTGCTTCGTCCCCACCAACACCCCTCAAACCCTGTCTCCTCCTCTAACCACCTGCAGCGGTTACTGTGAATTCAGCGACTCTGGGAGTGAGCGAGGAGACGATAAGGAGGAGGAGGCAAAAGAGTGGATGGAGAATGAGGAAGAAGAGGGTGGAGTACGGTGGCAACAGGATGTTGAGTGATGAAGGGCAACAGATGAAGGAGGTGATGGATGAAAAGAGGAAGTAGAGAGGAGAAAGGTGGATGACCGGAGAAGAAAAGAAGAATAAAAAGGAAGGATGGAAGATCGGAATGGAAGAAGCAAGTAGAAAAAAAAATTAGTTGGGTGGAATGATGGTAAGGGAGAGAAAGGAAGGACACGAGCTACGAGCTAATAGTTTATATAATAGTCTATCGTGTGGGAACCTATGACCTGCATCACTGTATATTTTCTTCGTGTCCACATAATCTCAATAATACTCTGTAGTCAATAACAGCCACTGTAATCAACAAGATGCCACTCGTCTTTTAACAAACTGAGACGAGTCTCCTGGTGGAGGTGGAAGTCTCTGTAGAAGAGGTGGAAGCAGTCATAATAAAGATGACTGTACTCGGGAGGATGCCAGTATTCAACATTCACAGAGTACTTTTTTTTCCTCTAATGTAAGAAGTGAAACCAAAAACAAACAAAACAGCAGACATGCTCTCATGTATAGTTAATATTTTACTGTGATACAACAAAATCACTTGAAATACGTAGGAAACATCGTGCTGGAGATAAAGACAGATTTAGACAGATTGGCCTATTTTATTTTGTTTTTCTCAGTGACTGCACACACAATGACTAGACAATCTCTGAGTTTGATGTAATGCAGTGTGTGTCTGTGTGAGCCAAGTGGAGCAAGACATAAGTTGGAACTGACAACAAATATGAGCCACTTGTCTGTTTGGTTCTTTAAGTGTCATTGAGCAGCAGCTCCCGGAGCTCATGTTGAGCTCACTCAAGGAGAAAAAAAAATCAAGTTTTTAAAAGGCTCAAGGACTTCATTAAGCCACCACCATTCAGGCACCATGCTGGGCTAAATATACCTTATGTACCATCAGAAGCATGAAAGGTCTCGGCTGTAGACTGTATTCAGGGTCTATTTCCATCCTAATTGGTAAGTCTTGCTGTTCCCTTTAGGGGTCACTGCAGAAGATCATCACCCTCAACCTCCATCCGTCAGCTGGCTTCTCTACTGTTACAACAACCACATCTTTCTCTAGTCTTTCACTTCATTCATGGATCTTTATGTTGTCTTCCATTTCCCTTCTTTCCTGGCAGCACAATCAACCACTTCTCCTTGACACATGTCCACACCATCTCAACCTCATCCTCTTCAACTTTGCCTTCAACTATTTAGCATTTGTTTTTATTCTGATCCGCTCATTTTAATTCCATCCACCAGGGAATCAGCTGTTCTAAAATCTCAGCATCTTCATCTCACCATCAGGGTTTGAACTTGTGGTCTTGTTGCTGTAAGGCATTCGCCTTAACCTCTCTTTGACTGTGTGGTCTTGTTTTACTTAGCGTTTGATATTATAATGAATTTTGCTTCATCATTTTTCCCTTTCTTCTTTGTCTGTTTGAACTTTTTTTTAATACCTGTGACAATTTTATAATTCTTTTTTAAAATCCAACATTTAGAGTCGGTGGCAAACCTCATTGCCCGAGACTGTTTTTAGCAAGTGAGGGAACATAGTCATTTGACGCCCTCTGTTGGTTGTTTTCAGAATGGCAGATGCAGGAATCAGTTGCTCTAAATGTACAGCTTTGACAGAGTTTTTTAAAATACAATTATTTGCCATACAAATGCACAGAGTTCTTTTAAAGAGAGAAGCTGGTCTTACCTGCAGTCTGGGGAGACACTGTTAGCATGAGAAGAAGAAAAAGACAGAGGAGAAAAAAAAGAAATCTTAGTAAGTCATTAGAGCAACATTATCATCCAAATCAAACAAATTTTCAAAAGTGTTTCAAAAATGTTAAACACAGCAGTTTATTCTCTCCAGGGGTTAAATGTCTACGGAGTGAGAATTTATTCCTACAACTGACCCATCCCACCCTCACATTCCTATAGTTGTTTAGAAAATGTGTTAAAAAGTGAAGACAGACAAAAAGGTTCACGTGCATAAAAGCTTTGCCATTTTTTTTAGAAATGGCATTTGTAAAAAAAAGTTTAGATTTTTTAAAAATAAAACTATTTTAAATATCCCAAGGGGAACAAAAAGGAAGTGGTTGCGTTGTATCTACCTGCCAGGTCTTGTCATGAAAACAAATACAGAAAGGAAAAGATTTAGCAGTGAGCAGGTCTGATGGTCAGTCCACAGACCGAGGACGGTGAATGAAGCTGACAAGTGAAGGGTTTACTTCCTGATATTCCAGCCCACAATCACTCTTTTTTTCAAAAAAGGACCACTGTTATTTATTACTGATCCTGCAGTTCACCCACCTTCCAGTGGGGTGGGCTGTGGCGAGGAGGACACCTGGAGGTCTGAGTGTGCTGTGGTGGTGACAGAGGAAGGTTTTGCAGCAGAGCTAAGGCAAGTGGCTACATTTGCGGGCAGAGAATCAGATGAAGTGGGAAAAGCTTTGTTAATAGAGGGTGAGGTTAAAGTGACGGGTGGGGCTGGGGTGGAAGTGGGACTAAACGACTTGACGTTTTGACTGAGACCAGTTCCGACTGTAGTCAGAGTTGTGGAGGTGGGGGTAAAGAGTTGAGGAACTTCTGAGGCAGGGATGACTGGTTCTTTTGGGCTGGACTTAGTGAGTGGAGCTGCAGCTGCAGAGGGAATGTTGGTGATGGGGGTGGTGGTCTGTGAGTCAGGGGTGGAGCCCTGAGGGGTCTGCAGGACTGAATCCAGGAAGGAGAAGGTCTGTGAGACTGGGCTGAGATTGTCACTCATCAGTATTGCCAGACCGGCACTCGCATTTCCAGCCAAACTGTTCTTGGTGGCAGCACCGGCTGCTCTCTGACCGCTGTCTTCAGGTTTGATGGCCAAACCTTTGTCTTCTTTCTGCACGTCTGTAGCCGACAAAGAAAAATCGTCCACACACATTGGCTCATAGGGTCTGGGTGAGGAATCGTTACTGTTGCTGGTGTGGTTTGTGGAACCAGTGGGTATTTGTGTACAGGCAGAGGGTTGGACAGAACTGGAGCTGTAGTTTGGAGGTTTGAAGTCACTGGACTGAACATCTGTCCCCCAAACAGGAGCCACTGTCGCTGGAGTCGGGGAGACTGGCTGCTGGGGCGCCCCCCACTCCTCTGGAAGTCTTGCCCGGCTCTTAGTTTTCCTGCTTTTCACTCTTCCCCCACCTCCACTCTCTCTGATCTCCCATTCCCAATTCTCTTCGGCTTCTTCTTCGTCGTCTACCTCCTGCCCACGGCCGTCGTTCTCGTGGCTATCTAAGAAGTCGAAGGCCTCGTCCTGACCCGCCCTCCTCTTCTTGTTAAGACTTTGCTGCGTGCCATCCTCACCCTCCGCTCTCTCAGGTCTGTCTTCACAGGTGGAGGATGTCTGAATGATGTCATCTTTAGAACCGATGGAGGGGAGGACAGGAGCTGCCGAAGGGGGGAGGATTTTATAAGAGGTGGAACCAATCACATACTGTACTGTGTCAGAGAATCAGTAACCAGCCAAAAGCCAGAAGAGCTGTCTAACCACCGACTATACTGTTGATGGTTTTCTTACTTTTCACATGCAGGTCATACATACAGTACAAACAACTGGGTACATTTTAACCTGTGTAATATTTAGTGACAAGTCACAACAGCGTACTGCAACAAATACCTCACTTTAGTCTACTCCAAAACAGTTCCTTAATTGATAAATGATAAATGTGGAACCTGTGGAATGCTACAGCATTCTAAAAATCAATTATTTATGTTCTTTCTCATTCTGTTTCCAGCGTTTCTGCTAACAGCCTCGTCTGAGGTTAACACACCTCCATGTGACAGTTCACTTATGGTGCGTGTGGTTGTATGAGGTACAGACGTGGTTCAAAATGAACACAGCACTAAGACACAGTGAGAACTGGATACTGTATCAAGACAACACATTCAGTCCAGGGGCCAAGGTGCTCTCTATAACCCCCTGTATTAGGAACAGCACAACTACTACAGCGGCTAACACCACAGAGACCAGGAACTAAACTAAAGCACATTTTTTACCCCAAAAAACCCCACAGACGTAGGACTGTTGATGTGGGACTGGTGCTGGTTCTTTAATTCATGTTTATTTATTATATCTAACTTAGCCTAATGAAACTCTAGCCTTCTCCATATAGCACAATGCTAATCCATGTATGTGGTTGGTGAGTCTCAGGAAGCCTTTATAGATTAGTTGTGTTATTTGCCAAGGGTGCAGTAGCGTTCGGTTGTAAAGAGTGTAAACGGTGCCCTCTTGTGGACGTAGATGGTACAGCGTATATAATTTGCTTTGAAAAATAAGTCACAGGACAAACCAGACTACGAAAAAAGTAGGACACATAATTGGAAAATATGGTACACAATAAAACCTGCCCTGTTTACACAGATGTTTGCACAGCCTGTGTGCAAATGCAGCCTGACCAAACCTACTGTTGATACCTGCAGTGTAATCCATGGACTGGAATCCTGGGCTGCTGGTCTTAAATGGACTGCCTCCACTGGTGTTTGTGGTGGTTTTGTTTTCCACACCAAACAGGCCTGAGCTCTTCTGTACTTCAAGTGCTGAACCAGTCCCAGTCTGGCCAAAAGGGTTGGTACCTACAGCGGTCTGGAACGGTGGCAGACCAGTCCCCACAGTCCCTCCAAGCATGGACTGAGGAAAGCCTGGTGGAGGGACCAAGTCTCATTATACTTTTTTGAAATTTAAACTTAAGAGAAAACCTGTGACAAAGTGCAGTTTATGGAAAATGTTTCATAATAACTCCGGTATCTATGAGTATATATGTGTACTGGAAATTTACACTTTCTAAAAAATCTGAAATGGTAATGAGCCAAATTATTCTCTGCTCTATCTGTGAACCATGTTTTGTATGACCAGTGTATCCCCCAGTCTTACCAGAAAAGTTGTCAGTGCTGAAGGCAGACTGTCCTGGCATGTCTTGGAATCTGCCAGATGACATCACTGATGACATCATCCCTGGAACTGTGGAGAATACACAGCATCATCCTGTTTATTAATCGTTAACTTGAACATCAATTCTGTTTGTGTTGCTGCTGCTCACTCTTCCAAAGATATTGGTGCAGTACAACTTTGAAGCATGAAATACGACCAATACGACCAATTTTTAAAAGGACAAAAATGTTTAATTATTTTAAATGAAATTAATTTAGTTAGAAAAACAACTCATAAACAAACCAAACTCATTCAGAAGTGAATTTCTCCATTACACTCCCACACAGTGAGTCATTCTGGGAGGTTACTGTATCAACAGGCTCGTTTATAAAAGGTCTTCTGATCAACATTAGGGATCAAGGAGGCTTCAAAAAGGCTTAGTGTTTGGAGGAAAGGATGAGAGACTGCAGAAACCCAACACCTTCACTGATCTAGTCAAGAAACATCAAGGAAATGACATTTAGAATCCAGATATAGATCCATAGAATCCCAGCCTTCATGTTACTGTGTATTTATTTACAGCTGTGTATATACAGTATGTGCGTGAATTTTGATCGTGACGCAATTAGACAGCAGTACATTGCTATAGTTACTGTCCCTATGGTTACAGGAGAGGAGGAGGACACCATCTGCAGGCTGATGGGAGACAAGTCTGAGGAACTGATTCTACACCAGGACAAAGGTACAATGGGAGACAAGTCTGAGGAACGGAACTGATGGGAGACAAGTCTGAGGAACAAATTCTACACCAGGACAAAGGTACATTCAACTGATGTGATCATAAAATATATGCTTAGTCCATTTACTCCTGGTATTTGTACAACAAAGGTACACTTATCACACTAATGGGTATACAAACACACTATACCTCAAAAAACATGGTTGATAATTTTTGGAAAGTTCTGAAGAAGATTTAGGTTGTGAAAACATACCGTTCTTGGTGCTGTCCTTTTCATCCACCAGGGGTCGGTAGTCGCTCTTAGAGACCGTCTCTCCCCCTTTTTTGTCATAGATGTCCTTGTCCATTGAAGCCATGAAATCTCTCTTCAGCAGAGAGTCAGCAGGTGCCCCACCTGGGACCCCACCTGCACCTCGAGCATCACGTAGGGTCAGGTCCATAGTCCTGTGTTTGTGGACAACAGAACACAAAATAAATACTAAGTACTTTTAATACTTTTTAGTAGCTACCCCTTTTTGTTTTGTTTGATTGAACTATTGACGAGCCCCCATATGTCGACACATTAAATGTGAAAAATTTGAATTCATTGTTACAAATATCTGTACCCTGTAATTCCTATAAATCTAAATATTCACATAGAAAAAACAATTACTGAGAAATATTGCAGTTTCTCCACTGTAGCACAAAAAAAGAAATACTAAATTTTGAAAATGCATTTGCCTGTCTGTGCCCAATAATCTGCTCACCCTGGGGGGCCCGCCCATTGTTTCAAAACAAACTCACTTACCGGTCAATTCCCATATTTTCCAATTCGTAAATCTTAAGCCGTTACATGATGTGTGGGTACAACACAACATGAGGTTCACAGAACCTGAGTTTGAGGCCATTATGTAAATATCTTAATCTCCATGAGTCACTAATCATGAGGTCAGTAGCGGTGCATTACACAGTGGACAGCTGCTGCCCTTTGACAGATTAAAAAACATCTCTGTGCACACAACAACAACAAACCCACCACTCCCACTCCCACTAGGTCTGTTACGTTCTCCAACACGCCAATAGTTCTCACGCAAGCATACACACATGCAGGTACTGCTGTCTCTGCGAGCACTCAGATTGATGGTGCAAGTAAACACTTTACACCTGACTGACTCTACCACTTAGCTCTGCACACTAGACTACAACCATTTAGACACATTTTATCAATAGCTTAACAACTGCAGACTGTACCACGTGGTACTGCAGAGATTGTGTGAATTAAAAGTCGTAGGGATTTGAGTGAGAAGTTAGAGAGAGTTAAAAAGGCAAAACCACAGCGCTGTGTCAAAATTCACTCTCATTAAAGTGAAGGTCATGACATAAGAAGCTTAACAAATACAGCTTTTGTATCTGTAGCAGAAACTCTAGTATATTTACTGTTCCATGTTAACCAGTTTAAATCCTAAAGTGCATTTTTTATTGTAATATAAACACACATCATTCTGCAACTGCATAACAAATGAGCAACAACATTAGCATACATCCTTTACCACAAGTACTAACAAAGCAATATTCCAGTAGTGTACTTCACATTAGTAATACACCAGCTTTGACAAGCTGCTCCTCTAACTCACAGTAATTAGTTGTCGTGGTTAGTGCTAGCCATGACTCAGCATACAGTAGTTAATAATTAAATTACGTAAAGTGTGGTAAACACTTCTTTAACAACCACAACATCTGACCTCTTCACCTCTGTAAGATGAGAGGAGGTTCAGCACTGGAAAGCAGCAGTTCTGTACAGCAGTGAACCCTGGGACGTGTGGCGTTTACGTAACACTGAGGATTGTCCCGGATGAGGATATCTCTGGGCCACGTCGTGGGTAAAGGACAGGGATTCACTGAGTCATAACAGACACTGTACCACGGCCTTAGCTCCAGCTTTAGCAGTAAACACAAACCCACAGCTCATTTACCATAACAACACCCAACGATGTTGTTTATGAGTGGTACTGTTTGGACGCTGCCACAGGGAGACAAACATATGCAGCCACAGTATAGAACAATGTGTACCAAGCTACACACAGAGGACACAGTGAGAGTGTGAGTCTGTGTGTGTTTGTGTGTATAGTACTGGAGGACAGTGGGGGTGGGGTATTATTGTATAATACCAGGCTTAACCTATTTACTGTAATAGCTGCAGTGAATGTGATAGGATCGTTGTTGATGGTTGTTGATGGTGTTAGTCTTTCTCTGGTCTTTGTAAACACAAACCGGACATTCTGGTAAATCATCATGAATGTTGACTGGCCACGTTCTGTGTCTTGGATTTTCTCACAATGCAGAAAAAAAAAACTTCCTGTATCTGCTATATCAACCACCAACTATTTATATCAAGGATTTTAAAATTCCAATTGAGCTGGGCCTGAACTGTATGACTGGAAATATAAAACTAAGTCCAAAAACGGGCTTTGATTGTCAGACATGAGGAATGGAGCGTTTATTTACATGAGTTTTTTGAAGATCTTTCATAATTCTTACCTTTGTTAGTCTAGACAGAAACCAGATTTGACATCACACAGACTTGAATCCTGCTCAGCCAAACACTAGTTCATTACCTTGTTTTTTTTCAGCAGCTATGCTAACATTGCCGGCATGTTTTCAAAAACACACACTATTAGGGTTAACTGTTCTCTCTATATTGACTATCGGTAACCACTGTGAGTTTGAGTGATTGTTCGCAACTATATGTGGTCATGTGATTGACTGGCTGTCCCAGGATTGGCTGCGGCTCTCCTCCATGACCCTGAAAAGGATTAAGTGTTAGAAGATGAATGAATCCATGAAAGATGAAAGAATATTTTTACGGCTCACGATTCGTGTGTCAATCAATTTGTGAACCAAGTTGTTTTATGACAAACAGCAGCTTTAATAACTACAATGTCATGAGCCAAAACAGATGGACGAATGCACTTGACACATGATATAAATCAATAGATTTTCACAATAGGGATACACAGTATGTGTGGAAAAGCTCTGTGTGACTCAGAATAACTGCAGTAAATCTGTTGGTGACTGTCTGGCCCGAGGATCTGACTGGTGAACTGTCCGGGGTGTACCCCGTCCTTGCCCAATGACTCCTGGGAATGTCTCTAGCTCCCACTGTGACTGTGAAAAAATGATAACATGGAGGAAGATCAATGTATTCATATTATATAATATGTGTAGTGCCGGATTACTGTTTTATATCTCCATCAGTTTCTCCATCCATGGCCTAAAAACCTTGAGGACCACTAATTTAGGCCACACCAGTTCTGACTGATCAGAGCCACGTGGAACTGGACTCTGACAAGGATGCATTGATGGATGAATAGATGGATTGATGGATGGACTGATAGATGGAAGGATGGATGGATATCTGCCGGAGTACTGAGCCGACGACGTGTACCATCCGGACTGCGGCACCACCATAACAAAGAGACACGAATCCACGCAGCTCCTGAGACAGTGCCCGCCCCCCTCACCGCTTCTCCTTCTCCTCTCCTCTGCCCACACGCCCACTATCTTCCAATCTTTATGATGATGTTTTGAACTATTATACAAAACAGGCCCACGTCCAGAGATAGCACCAGCGCTGCATCACAGACACGTACTTTATCTTCCATTCATGAAGAATGCAGTTCCGCGACACCGTGGCCCACGATAATCGCGCGATGACACATCACAAATGTGACATGATCGACTCTACTCACCGTTCGTTTGCGTCCGTCTCCTCTCAGTGTCTGTGTTTGTATATTTTAATTAGTGAGTTTGCTCGTCGGAGTTTGTGATGGTGGAAAAATCCGTCCACCTTTCACTGCCCACAGAGCAGTCTGGTACCAAGACTGGGATACAGGCCACGCCCACCGAACCACCGACTTAACCAATCACACGCAGGAAGAATAGGATGCTGGGGGGCATTTTGCTAGAAGTGCAATTTAGAATAAAGAATGCAAAACGAGAAATAATAAAATCGAAAAGAAAAGAAAATAATACAATTCCACGAATAAGCTGTGGGTGTGGCACAGCTATTGCAGAGGGGTTTTTACAGCAAGTCCTTTTGTTGTGCCACAGATGAGCAATGCAATGTGCAAAATTCAGCAATTTTGAATTTTTTAAAACTATTGTTTAATGAGAATAGGCAATACAGTGTTTTAAATAAGGTCGGTTGTGTCACAGATTTAATCCACACATTTAGCAAATATCAGCTGAAGTTCAAGACTTAGATGTACGGTTTGTTGAAGAAAAATGTTTTTTCATTATTTATAATTTTAATAATAATAACTCTCTCTTCTGGTTAGCCTACATGTACAACCAGCTAACTGACTGACTGACTGGATGTTAAAGCCGGTCAGATGACTGAAAGGCTGTTGTCCAGGCAGAGATTTCTTAAGGATTATATGGATTTATTATTCCCATTTCATTTAAGTTGGATGTTATAATCTCTCAAATCACCATCCGTGCATTGTATACAAACGTATTGGAAACAGTTCATTTCGACAGTCCAAACTACAAACTATATGTGAATGGTTTATACCTTTTAATAGGAGGTTAACCCTGAGCTCGATGTGACGTTTAAATTATTGTTGACCTTTTATGTGTGATTGTGGATGGACTCGTCAAACGCTCGACTATGAAAACTTACAAAAGCAGCAGAATATACCAAAAATATTTATACCACATATATAAGTAAAGGGTAAATGTCTTTTAGAAAGAGTTTTGTAAAAAAAAATCTTTATCTTCCTTTCCTTCTTTTATCTTCTTTTCCTTTCTTTTCTTTTTTCTTTTGTGTTCCTTTTTTCTTTTGTATAATGTATATACTTTATTTAATATATATTTTAATAGTTTAAGTGAAAAGCCTGCAGCATGATATATTTTCTGTAATAACAAAAAACGAGACAAACTGCATGACTGACCTGCAACTGTTAGGATGAAGCAACATCATGCCGCCTCACAGGGTGACCTGTCTCCCTCTAGTGGTACAAAATAGGTTAGATATATCTGTCTATCATCTATCATAAATGTAACAATTTGACACAAAACACACAAAATCACAAAATGAGATTTGAAAATATATATTTATTAATACTTGAACATGTCCACATATTGACTTTCAATGGACAAATGCATTCTCTCCAATTGAATGAGGATTGCGGTCCTGTCCATGAGTAAAGGACTGACTCATTCTGTCCAAACATAAAAGCATCTTAATCTCACTTTCTTTCATCATTCCATTCATTCTGGTTTCCTCCTTCAGCCTGTGTTTGTGTGACTGGACCCCAGGGGCTGCGTGGGTTATTGTTGGCCTGGTCCATCTCGCTGCCTTTTAGCCTCTTCTACTCTTGAGTGAATGCATGAAGTGGTACCGCAACACAATAATATACCGATGACATGGGGGGGTGACAAATGTAAAACTTCCTCGTCTGTCCACAGCAGGGAAATGTACAAATGCATCTGCTATTGTCCGGGCAGCGACACTGTACACCCACATGCACTTTAAACTGGTAAGGAGTGAACATTAGAGCGGCGACTTCAAGGAGTCTCATCGACTTGTTCTCTGTGAGAAGTGTGTTTTGGTGTGTGTGAAAACATCCAGGTTTTGTGTCTGAAAGCAACCGAAGATCAACAAAACATAAATCACGTTATAACTGTCTTTAAACAGAATATAGCAAATATACTACAGCCATGTTAAAATACTGTAATACAATATACATTCACACATATACGTATATAAAATATATAAATACACGTGTATATTTGTCCTTGTATACATATATATCTGTATATTTACAGTATGTATGCATATGTGTACTGTACAGTATATAAACCAATATATACAATGTACGTGTGTGTGTTAAAATTATAACAATTTTGATGTTGATTTGTTGTTGCACATAATGCAGCTTAACATTTGTTTTTTTCTGTTTTGCAGGAGAATGACTTAAATCTGACTTAAAATGGTGGTTTTGGACATGGACGTTGCAGTCGGTGGTAAGTACAAAAGGACTAGCTTGTGTTTCCACACTTCTTGACTCTAATGAATATGCACAAATATTCATAGACACCCACACAAACACACACAGCGTCTGTAATGAAACCAACATGTCGCAGGATATCCTTTATTCTCCATGTAAACACTCCAGCAGGGTCCATGGGGTCTCTTTATTTTCCTTAAGTAACCCTATCCGTCTCGCTCCCCTCTCATTCTTCCATCCCTATCTCCATTATTGGCCACTTTATCCTTTGACCTTTGAACCATGTTCTTGTTGGGTTCAATTACAGGTGTGACTGCAGAATTATTTCTGTCACATTTGACAGTTTTTTTCTCTAGCGTCGGTGTATTTGACATATGTAAAAATAACACTCGACTTCAGTGAGTGTGGTTGGAATGTAAGGCTGTGGAATTCAGTGTATCTACTTTGCTTCACTTCTATTGTGTTTGTATTTGTTAATGGAAACGATCGCCACAAACCATACCCTGGTTAGGAACACCTGGAGGAAGCAGCAGTAATTAAAGATGTTGTTATACAGTATTACAAGATGGATCAGCCATATAAGGCAACAGCTAACCATTAAATATAGTAAATAAGTATAAATAATGATGTCATTGGCATAAAACAAATGACTACTGCTTGGCCACAACTGTAGTAAGCCATTGTGTAACAGCCTATCACTACTCAGACATTTACCTCCATTACCTCGTGGTGTTTACCTCCACAGTCGACCCAGAATAACCTGTCACTCAACAGTCACTATTCATCCGTTTCCTCCAATAGCGTGACTTCAGTGTACCGGGGGCAGGGGCAGGCGCTGGATTAAAACAGGATAGGATGAGGAAAACAAGATGTGACAGGGAAAGAGGGGCGCACAAAAGACAGGAAACACATAGACATGAGAGCCAGAGCAGCAGACGGAGATGGAGGTTGAGATAGAGCAAGGAGAACTGAGAGGCGGAGAAGTAAAAAAAAAAAAGAATCATGTAAGGTGGTAAGTAAGAGAGGGAGAATGGAGTGTAGTCCTTTAAAAAAAATAGAAAAGGAAATATCAGGGAGGAGAGAGGAAACTGGAAACGATAGGATGCACAGATGGTGGAATAAAGAACATAAGAGAATAAAGATTGGACCAAAATTATCCCACTTGTGCTTTGAAGTCCACTTTTAGATACAGTGTTGTTTGTTGTCTTTGTGATATAGGAAGACTCAGCTCGAGTGCTGCATGACTGTGCGTGCAGCAGCAGATGAAGTGAGGAAAAGTTTCTAATGATGGGGGTGACAGTAAATGCGGGGGTTTGTGACAGACACAACTATGATGTCACACTTTGTGGTTAGCTTTGCTGTTTTTACATGATTGTGCACAGTAAAAAAATTAAAGAGCTAATCTCAGACACTTGTTCAATTCCCATTTAATCCCTATGCCTAACCCCTATCCTAATCTGACCTTTCTTTTAAACCTAACCTCAAACTATACTGTATCTTGAACCTAAAGATCTTTTGTGAACACTTAATAAAAATATAAATATGTCTAGTCCCAATCTCAAATCTAATCTCACCCTAATCCTGATCCTAAATCTAAATTAAATGCTGAACCCCCATGAGATTAGTATTTTCCAGAAGATGTTCCCACAGGCATTGCTATTTCAGGTACACACACAGAAGAAGGTGGCGTGTGGTGACGCAGTGACGTGGGCAAAGCGAAGTTCACGTCCACACCAGAAGAAAGTTGACAATTTGAACCCAGCAACAACAGTGTTTGTAAGATGCAGTGATTGTTTTTGGATAAAAAGGGAAACCAAGCCCACAGATAAACAGCCACTGCTCACGAACACTGACGTTCAGGAATTGACAACAGCGATAACTTCAATTTCCTTACTGTGAAAGACATAATCTTTATAAAACAACAATAAGTTTATTGTGAAAAGGAACATGTCTGCTTTACATAAATGAATACTGATTGAAATGTTTAGATTGAATAGATGTTTCTGTTTTCTGATGTTTTGTTCGTGAAATGTGATGATATTAAATGTTCTGATCCATCTCATCACTTAATCGTAAATAGTAACTTCTCTAACAAACCACAAGTGAAATCATAAATGATCGTGATAGTGAAGGATGGAGGCGATAATCCAACACCAGTGACAGCCATAATACAGGTAATTGTAAAAAAAATATGCTAAGGCGCTAAGATGGTATTTTAAGATGAGGTTTACCTTGGTGAAATGAAAACCTTTGACAGAATAGTTGGTTTGTTTATATAAATATAAGTATTAATTAAACTGTGTATTTAGAATCAAATGTATGAACTATGTAGTTCCAGTTAACTCTTATAGGGTTTGTTTTGTCTTGGCTCTACAGATGGTTTAAATGTCTAGAAAAACAGAAATAATTCCCTGGGATGGAACATGACCCACCTGTGTGTTCACAGTGTCCCTGCTGGCAAGAAAGGGAAACACTGACACATGGTGAAAAGAAAAAGCAAAAAAAGACATGTCTGAGAATTTGTCTGCCAGAAAAAGAGCTCCTTGTACAGAATGTTCTTTATATTGTGGATATAAGTGGTAAAAAATTGTAACAAGGTAAAGATAAATGACTGACTTCATTGTCAGTTATTATCAGTTGGTAATGTTCTGCGTCCAAACTAAATATTTGTATTGCTGAAATGTTTATTCATAATTTACCATTTTTAACAGTGTTTAATCATAAGTGTGAATGCTATTTATTTGTCATATCAACATCTATTTGACTAAAGTGCTTTTAGAGGCCTGTGCCCAGGTCTTATATCAGGGTTGGTTTGAACAACCTAATTACAGAAAAGAAGTAAAAATGGGAGAAAGAAAGACAGATGATGGTGAATGAACTGCAGGTGAAATGGAATAAAATGCAGATTTATTATTATTATTATTATTATTGTTCTACATAAGACTTTGCCTTTGGTTACAATATTATTCACTTATAGAAGCTTTGTGATAATTCATTGGAAAGAGAAACTTTTTTTCAAAGTACCACATTTCTGGATGTAGTTAGTAACCAGTCATACAATTTTGTCACATTTTCTCCTGAAACAGCTGTGTGTTAGTGCAGCAGGCAGAGCCAGGCCTTTATGAGAGGGTGGGGACAGAAGGCTGCTTTAAAAGCCACC